AATTGAAGGAAAAAATAATTATTCACAGCAACAATATACCACAGTTCATCTAATTGCTGGTTTATTTTACTTGCATTCTTTGAAAAAACAATTGTATAATAATATTTATAATGTATATGCATTTTAATTATTTATAAATGTATAAAGTCTTTGTATTTATAATAAAATAATAAATTAAATTGCTATGACATGTTTAAAATTTGAAAATAGGTTTATAAAACGTATATTTAATGATTAAAAAGTAATGATGTAATATGTGTAGAGAGAGGACAATGACCCTTTTATAGAAATGGGACTTGCAAGTTCAATAGATCTTTGTTAGATACAGAATTTATGTTTTAATGGTGTTTCTTCTACTTGAAATTGTAATAAAAGATGTAATTAGTTTGCAGAATCTTGAAAATATTTATGCTGCATCGTGATTAATTTGAAAATTTAAGATTTTTTAATAAAGTTTTGTAAAATTAAAAATCCGTATCGAGAGTAAACAACTGTTGCAAAAATATATATTTCAATATTTTATCGTGTGCTTTTTTTTTTTAATTAAATAGTGCAGATTTATATGAAAAGATTGTCATGTAGAGGGTGACCGAAAAGTTACCGAGCAGTGAGAAATTTGCAATGACGTTAAAGTAATACGTATGGGGCATTGTATACTAGATTCGTAAGTTGTATGTGCCACGTTTCCACTTTGGAAGGTGGCTTTGCTGTTTGTTGCAAAGGATTCGTCCAAAAATTGGAGTTCTTTGCCAATTGCATAATCTCCCATATAATCTGGCCCATTAGGTCTCTGGACCAGATGCTGGACCTATGGAAGACATTTCTGACATTTTCCTTAGGAGAAACTGCTGAATTTTATTTTTTTATCGAGTTACAGTATAATGTGTCTTTAGATTATTTCCATTTTATTGAAGTAATACAGAAATGATCTTACTAAAAGTTTGTGTCAGAAAAGACAACTACTTCTCGTAAGTAGTTTAATTTAAAAACAAAACAAATTGACTGTCGACAATTTTAAATGTTTGTTCCTAAAATTTACTGTTTCAAGTATTTATCTCTAATTAATTACAGTTGTCCCTCTATAGTCCGACGTTTTTTAATCCGACATGCTCAGTAGTCCAAAGCACCTCCCGTCAAGGTACCCGTCCCCGTTACATGTCTGCTTGCACAGAAGCATGTCGCGATGTGAATCTCCCCATCCAATTCTTACTCGATGACACACATTTCGTGTGTTTTATGTGAGCAGTTCTGTTCGAACAGTTGGAGTAGAGAATATTGTAAGTTACTGCTAGCAAAACAATGCGAAATATGTAATTATTTTCGGTAATCCAGACACTTTTGGTAATCTGACACACCTTTGGTCCCATACCTGTCGGATTATCAAGGGACAACTGTATTTAAATTACTTCTTTTTTGTGCTTAGGAATATAAAAAAAAAAAAAAATTAAAACAAAAACTATTGAATTAAATTGTAAAATATCTCATTTCGTAAAGAAGTTGATTTATCGTGAAAATTATATCGTGTATACAGAAGAAAAAAACATGTACATGTTTTATTAGCTATAATTCTAACTTTTATAAGATAAAAATTGGATTTAGAAATATATAATGTAATCTTTATTTTAACATTTACTCTAAATTTTTATAAAATCATTAAATTAAAATTCAGGAAATAATCATAAAAATTACTAATAACCAAAGTGTGCTTTTTTTTTTCCCCAACATGTGTATGTGTAGATTATTAACAGTCAACCGAAGCGACTATCTAGCAGTCAATATCTATGAATCTGATTCTGTTTAGGCTCTAATTAAGCGAATTAAGTTTAGGACAAATTATGTAGTTTATTTAATGATTACTTTTTACCTATAATAAAGCTAATCTGGTTTGTTGTAATTTTGTTTTAAAATTAAATTGTGAATTTTTTTCACGCTTATTAACAGTTTATTAATACTTTTTTTTAAAATTTATCTGTAAATGTAATAAATCAGACAAAATAATAAATTATAGTCAAGCTTCTAAAAATCTGCTTCTGTCTAATTTTCTGTGTTTAAAAGATGGAGCTGATCAAACTGATGCAATAAAACTAAGTTTTATTTACTGGCAATAATGGTTGCCTTGACAACAGCTGTCTAATTGACAGCCATTTCTGTCTTTTTTTCTTTTTTATTTTGTTTTGAAATGCCCACAAAGTAACCGAATGATGGCCAAGATGAATATTTCCGAGTTTGATTTTTACTTATCTATTGAAAATATTTTATATTTTTGTTTGTTTTACTGAATATTTTTACTTACATATAAAACTGATTTTAATCAAATATGTACTGTATGTATGTATATACAACTAACCTGATAATAACTTCAAATATCTAATGAACAAATGTTTTTAGCTTTACTGGTCTATTAAAGCTAAAAACATTATTGATACTAAGCAATTTGGCAAGAGGTTGGTCAACAGGCCACATTGTTAAATATAATAATTATAAGTTAATTGATTTAAACTAATATTAGAATGTTATGGAAGATAGTATCGGCTCCGAGTGGAACTCGAATCTGTGTTATATGTATTTGATTATACTTACTAGTGAAGTCTTAGTTTAGTCATACCCTCTGATAGATTATGGCAATAATTCTCAATTGGTATCCGTAAACTTCTTATAGAAGTGCCATAAAAATTTTTAAACGATGATTTTTTTTTGTCTATTTTTCAGTATTTGCAGTTTTTTTGTAATATATAATGTCATCTTTGATGTGACACTGTCTTGTCAGTATGTCACTAAAAATTGTGTATGTACCACTGCCTCAGAAAGGTCGAGAACTATTCGATTTGGACTGTGATTCTTAGCGTTTGAGGCTGTAGGAAACCATTCGTAAACTTTTCATTATGCTGAGCATTAGCATCAATATATTCAATAATCAACTCCATGTTTACTATTCTCACAAAACAATGAAGTAATAAACAATATGCTTTATTGTATCAAATAACATAGCAAATATGGAATTGTCTATGAATAAAGTAATATGTTGGATTACAATGGAATAAATTTGCAATAAAAACTTTAAAGCATTTTATTTTGTGGAACACTGCAAGTTTGTATAATATGGATTGAGAACAATCACTATTATATTGGCTTTATGTACATACGTACCCACAAAGGCACCAAAACGGTCAACACGGGTCGCAAACCATTAGATTAAGACGGTCCGATCAAATAATCGAGGGCATGAAACATTTTAATTAGTTACTCGATCAAAATAACTCACTAACCACAAAGGTTTATCTAAAAAAGTATTTGAATGAGGCAATTAGAGCTTTGAAATGACGACCATTGCATGTCCAAAACAAACAGTCGAAGCTGTTAATTCAACTGTTCATTCTACATATACAATGTCTAATTATTTACATAAAAAAAGGACTTTTTTTTTTAAACAATAAAGATTAATTTAGAAATTGAATTACTAAAAATAAGTCAATTGATTTATCATTCCTTAAAAGTTAGACAAATGATTTTATTATTGAATTAATAAAAAATATCATCATACTAATGATCGCTAAACTGAACCATAAAAAAATAACCACAATAAATATGAGCAGTATTTATCATAAATGACCCAAGTATTATTTATTTACTATATTAAAAAGATAGTTTATATATAGATATTGATTTCAGATAAATACGTATTTACATATTTGCAACTACTGTATGAATAATGTTTCTGAGTTACTTACCAACTTTTCAAATGATTAAAATATAGGAGAAACAAGAAAATAATAATAATAATTCTTGCTTTGGCTTTTTCTCTCGTTTAAAAATGTAGATGATGATACGTATATTGCATTTGTATTGGATCTAAATCCATTAAAGTGTTCTATAAAGTATATTGATGATACGGAAGTGTTTTTTGTGTGTCAGTTGGGAGAGTGCAAATTTAATTTGTATTCATATTCGATTTAAATTTTTATCTTCTGGTGGTTTCTCTATGTATATAAGATATTTGTAATGTAAATGCCAAAGAGGATGGTTCAAAAAAAAAAATTGATAAAACTTTCAAAATAAATAAATTATNATTGTCAAAGTAAGTTAGAAAAGTAAGTTAATTTTTAATTTTAAAAAATAAAGATCATATGTAAATAAAATTTTATTTACATTTTGGCAATGAGATTTTCTAATTAGAATAATTTTTGAATTTTTATACTTTAGAAATTCTTTGGATTTATTGTGCTAGTTTAATTGGTAATGAATGTAAAACTAAAGCGTGCTTTTTACAATCTATGTTCCAAATTCTAATAGTTGAAAAGAATATTTCATCTGTAACAAAGAGCCATTTCTAGATCTTAATGTCTATTTTACAATTTAAGGTGTCAAAATTTGTTAATCTTTACACGAAATGCTAATTTTAGTGGTTTTAAAGCATCCAAAATGACAATTTCCATTAAAATCCAACAAATAAAAACATTTGTGCCCAAACAGTTGGTGAGTACATTGATATTTACCATTAAATGTGTAATTAAAACAAATATAAATACTTTTGTGTGTTAATATTTATCTTTTTGTCTTTGTGGCATCTGTAAATATGATGTCTTCCCATTGCAATGAATATTTAAAAAACAAATCCCGGTTAAAATATTGCAATTACTATTAACAATTAAATAAAAAAAATAATAATAATGATTTAATTATATAATTTTTGCAGTGTGATTTTTATAAATGTTTTTTTTAATAGAAAATGTTATAAAATTTTACTAGGGCTGTTTGATAATTCTAATTATATGAAAATTATAAATAATTTCATCTCTTTCATATAGCTGTCTTTAAATATGTATATAACTTTATATATAGCTGCATTTATACATGAAACTGTGTGGCTACTTGAAAAAGTATATAATGAATTTATTTATAACAATTAGTGTGTTGAGCAGCATTGTTAAATAGCTATAATAAATAAATAAATAAATTTCTGTGTGTGTAATTTCTAACTTTATATATTAAATATTTAACAGGCAGAACACCTCACTTGTTGTAAAAGAGGATGTCGACTGTTTGCTATGATCGATCTCATACATGATGCCGATAACATTAATAGCACCAAAGATTCTTGCATGGCATGTAAGTTATTATTTTTGTATAATTAACCAGTTTTATTGATTTAATATTTAGACTTGATCATTTGATAGCATTAAATACTTGATTACATACAAAATCAAACTTGATACACATTAATAACCAAATGATAGGGCCAGGATTTTATTGGTCTAGGACATAAAAGCTAATTAATTATTAAGATACTAAGCAGTTTGAACTAGGTATAGGCAGTTAAACTGTCCTTCCATGTTAAATTTAATCATTAGAAGTAAATAAATTTAATTTAGAATAATTTGGAAGAAAAAAACAGGTTCAGAATGGAACTCGAACCTGCAACTCCTGCTTTCCATGCAGATTTGTTACTGGTTACTTTACTTGAATCTCTGTCTGATCTTTTCTTCCAGACTAATTAATTTAAAAGATAACCATACTGGTCATTTAATATGCCAATTGGGGACATCTGTGTGTTTACAGTTCTTTGTGACATTCAGCCAACTCAAGTTTTTACCATGGCAATACACACACACACACACACACAGTATAAGCTTAAGGGCTGAGTGCTATGGGTGTGGGTGCATAGTCATTATCAAATATTACTGTAGAGATTCAAAACTAGGTAATCTATCCAGACTGTAAATCAGTGGTTTGCAACTCATGTTCTGATCTTAAAAAAGATGAGTGTGCATGTCTTCTAAAATTAATGTTTTAATGTACAGTACATTACAATGTACATTAAAACATAGGAAAACTGTCCAAGTTTCACATTTGCTTATTACAGTTTCTCTTTCAGTTGGATGTGTACACTTCATGTAACACAACACACATCTAACCGATACTCAAATTATTCTGTACTTGCTATGGCATATCCATTGTTGCTCCTCCACGGCAGCCAAAATTCTACAGCTTCTGCAAATTACTCGTGTTACTTTCTGACTTTTCAAACTGAGAACACAGAATGCCTTCTCTGCTGCAGTCACCATTTTCATTTACAGAACTCTATAGAGGAAAAAGATATTTGATTGCAGACGAAAGATGAAACTCAGACAGTTATTCTATTTATTGGTGTACTATACATTGTATATTCTCAGATAATAATTAACATAATTACATTAATTTAAAATGTAGCATTCATTTCGGAAGACCCTGTATTTTGAATTTATATTTGCAAAATTCGAATATGTAGGTAGAATGTTTGATGTAAAAGACCTTGGGTCGTCACTCATTAATGCCTGTTTTACTGTTTACAGTATTAAAGCATTAATGTTTGGTTCAATTCTACATCATATTTTATAATTGTGTAAGGAAATCAAATGAAAAAATGTATTAAGCATTAATATCTTTTTTTATAGCACATACAGGACATGCTAAATTTAAAAAAATCTTCTGTTGTTGCAATTTGAAAGCTTTAAAATACTGTTAATAATAATTTTAAATTTATTTATATTTTTATGTGATTCAGAACGTCAGTGTGACATTTGTTTGGGAAATGTAACATATGGCCTTTACCATTATCAGGGTGGAAGCCATATGTTATACTCATTATCATCAAAGTAAGTTAGAAAAGTAAGTTAATTTTTAATTTTAAAAAATAAAGATCATATGTAAATAAAATTTTATTTACATTTTGGCAATGAGATTTTCTAATTAGAATAATTTTTGAATTTTTATACTTTAGAAATTCTTTGGATTTATTGTGCTAGTTTAATTGGTAATGAATGTAAAACTAAAGCGTGCTTTTTACAATCTATGTTCCAAATTCTAATAGTTGAAAAGAATATTTCATCTGTAACAAAGAGCCATTTCTAGATCTTAATGTCTATTTTACAATTTAAGGTGTCAAAATTTGTTAATCTTTACACGAAATGCTAATTTTAGTGGTTTTAAAGCATCCAAAATGACAATTTCCATTAAAATCCAACAAATAAAAACATTTGTGCCCAAACAGTTGGTGAGTACATTGATATTTACCATTAAATGTGTAATTAAAACAAATATAAATACTTTTGTGTGTTAATATTTATCTTTTTGTCTTTGTGGCATCTGTAAATATGATGTCTTCCCATTGCAATGAATATTTAAAAAACAAATCCCGGTTAAAATATTGCAATAACTATTAACAATTAAATAAAAAAAATAATAATAATGATTTAATTATATAATTTTTGCAGTGTGATTTTTATAAATGGTATTCAAATTACAGCAAGTCTCAATATTATTAACAGATTTATAATACTGGTCAAAAGAGGATCTCATTGTGTTAAGGCAACAGAAGAAACCCAAAGGCACAAAGAACTTTTGTGTAGGGCTTCCTAACAGGGTTAATCGATATTAGGGGTTGATAAAATTTATTAAAATGGGTCGATATACAAGAAATATTGAGAATTGCTATTCTAATACATACAATAGGCCTTCTTATGCTAACGTAGTGTGAAGATAGTAGATAATTAACATAGTGATAAGTATGTAATTGATTCAAGTACGTTATACATTTAAAATAGCTTTAATTTTAATTTTATTTAACAATATAATAATTACACTACGCGAATATAATTATAGTTGATAATGACTACACTATATATTTTATATAAATATAATAACTGATACAATTATAATAAATTGCTGATTTTAAAATTTCTAAAACACATTTCTCATTCATTTGGATTGTGATCTTATCAGTGCAAACACTACCAAAATACTAAAATGCCTACTGTTTTTAGTTAGTATAACATAACTAAAGATAAAAATAAGCAAAAAATATTCTAATATCCATTCTATATAATTATTAAAGCAATAAGTAACTCCTTTGAATTTTAATAATGCTAATTTGCATATTATTGTTTAGTATTATTTGTATCTGATGACTGTTCCGTACCGTACATTGTTTTTTCAAATTTAATTTGTCATTTCTTTATTTAAAATAACCTTGATAATATCATTATAATTGGTATGGTGTAAAATAATTAAATATAATATCCAAAGCAAAAGAGATATATTATGACATTTCCTGAATTTATTAATAATTGCAGTGTATGGGAATAAATACTAGAGGAGAGGAAGTGAAAAAATTTTCCAATTAATGTCATAAGAATTTAGAAACACAAACTATTTTAAACTTAAATACAATAATACAACACATTTAAATATTTAATTTAAAATTTAAATTCTAGATGCAAGAAAATCATCAGGAAAAATATATATTTAAATATTTAAACTCTGTTAACTGTTTACAATAAAAATCCGACAGATAACAGTTAAGTAGCTATGCGTCTATAAGTACTGTGTATCTCTACTTGTACATTATCTGATAAGTAGAGATGACACTTATATTCAGGAGCTTCTTAACCTGATTTGGCTTCTCGTTAAGGAGCTGCAAAATGTCTTATGACTTAATGTTGGGTTCATCAATCAAGAATTGATTTTTTTTTCTTTTTGCATATAAATACAAACAGATGGAATTATATAATGGAATAAAGTACAAAAGATAGGAAAACAAACAATAATATGATAAGCGAGTGGATAATGCAAACAAATCATTTAACAAGCATGCACTAACAATTTACAGTCTGACTTTGAAAATTTATGCTCTACAGAAAAACAAAAAGTGCTTTTGGGTTAAATACTTGTCTTGAGAAATCTAATTGGCTTCTGGTTATAGGTTGTTCAAAAATTTTGAGCAGATTTGTGATAGTCAAATGGTGCTTTGTAATCTCATGAATGAATGTTTAAGATGTCAAGTTTCAAGAAATTCAAAACTCCTTTCTCTAATCCTTAAAACTTCTAATAAAGCAGAAAGTAATAGAATTTTTTTTAATGTTTGTTTGCTGTAAGTTCCAAGAACTTTGACCTTTCAGCCCATTATCAGAGGTTTCACATTAAAAGACACTGAAAAACATTAGAGAGAATATTATCTGGATGATTACTGAAATTTTTCTAAGCTTTCACTAAATCGATTCTACAATTTCAATTCTTTGAAGTGATGCCCAATTGTATTAAGCCCATAAATTGTAGCAGCCCAAAAATATTTGCTTCACAAATGCGATTGGCATATCGCTAGTAAAATTGACAGTTAATCTGCAGTGAGTATTTTGGGAACCACTTTTGATATATTTTTATAAAAATGCTCACAATGTCTAATTAGTTTTTGGTTATATATTTCTGTAGAATATTGGATGTTATTGTTATTCAAAAATAATTGAAAATGAAATATTAGTAAAATTTAATTTTTCTTGCAGCATGTATGGAAGCCTACAGTCATACTGCCGAGCGATACGCCTGCAATCTTGGCTGTAGTAATCAAGTCCCATTTGCATCGCAGAAACAACAAGAGGTAAAAACACTGTAAAGTACTATATTATTTTTCCGACTTTTCCAATGATTATCGACACGAATATGTGTGCCGGAAATAGCCGTTACCTAACGAGTACTTTACGTAGATTCGCGTTAATGTGCCAGGCCTGGACTTTAAGCGTGCACCGAATTAAATAATGACAAAGCTATTCAAAAACAATCCAATATTTAATAAAAATTCTAGTAATAACTATATACAAAATTTAGTAAAAATCAAATAATTTATTCAATGTAAATCAACAAGAATCAACCCGACAAAACTCATATCAATCTATTTTCTAACTTAACTATTCCCCTTTGGAATTCGACAAAAAATTCAAAGACAACTTATTTACAACAATTCTTATGAATTAAAGGTCCTAATCGTCACCTCAATATACTAGGAACCTTTTTCCTTGACTCTCAAGACTTTCTCTAATCTTCGATCCACAAATCAAATAACTTCAAAATTGCCTTGGAACTACTTTATCCTATCGGACACCTCTCTGTCGTTTGCTGATGCAAAGCTCACCACGCTCGTTGCTAACAGAAACTCTCCTCCGTCATCTTCACTTGAGGTTCGGTCTTTATACTGTGAGGTGACGTCACAATTCTGATTGAGATCACTCCCCTCATTTACGTACTTATTTGCTAACAATAAAAACTTTGTTTGTCTGGCAACCTATTTTCCGAAAATACTCGCTAACCTTTTAAATTATTCTTTAAAACATCCCGAAAATTTTCAAATTCTTTAACGTTTTGCAAGTTCCTAAGTTTGTGCTTGTGGGGTATCCCCCTTTTTCTCGGTGCGGACTTACTTTTTTCCGCTTGGGAGCACAAGTGTGCGTGAGTTTTTTCTACGGCACTTTTCTCTCGTCAGTGAATTGGTTTCTCTTCTATTTCTAAGTTTCTAAGGTGAGTGATGAGGAAACCTTTGTCCTAAAAAAACATAAGCCCCAAACAAAAATAGAATAAAAGCAAAAATAACGCTTGGACTTGGTTCCTTACAACATTTAATATTTTCAGATCTCAATTTGTTCTCGAGTTTGTTTTTATCTTACACAATTTCATTCCAATTTATAACTATTTTTAATTCTTTCACCTATTTTGGTACTTGGTAAAAAAAATCATATTCTTAAATACAGAAACAAACAGTGGATAAATCTTTCTGATAAGTTCTTTGCGTTTTAGTAATTGTATTTGGCATAACATTTGTTACTGGCATCAACCGAATACTTCATTTACATATTCAGCAATGAAAATAATAATAGTTTTAATGTCTCCACAATTATTATAAAATACACTTGGCCCATTTGTCAGAACCATATTAAATACAATAGTATCCTACAACGAAGTATCTTGTGTGTCTAGAGCAGTGGTTCCCAAAATGGGTGCTATTGCCCCCAACAGGACAGTGAGTAAATCTAGGGGCGAAAAGAAGCAAGGGGACAGCGGAGGCAGGACCAAATGATGACCTTAGGCAAGAGTTTGGGTCACTGACAACCTTTTCCTTTTCTCTGTTAAAACAGATATGAAGAAACATTGCATTTAATGTGTTTCCAGACCAGATGTTGACAACAATGTATGGTAAAGACACAAAGTGTGAGATTTGTAGAAAAGCTTTGCTAAGAATATTTCCAAGCCTTTCTCACACAAGGAAAATTAGGTTGGGTCATTGGGTATAAGTTTATGCAGTCAAGAGGGCAGTGGCTGAAAAAAGTTTGATAATCACTGGTCTAGAGCTACAAAATGGTCTGTAGACTAAAGAATGAGGTGGTAGATACTGCCTGCAGGGAGAGGGGAGAGAATTTATAGAATTTTAGGTTTATATATGGACATCAAAAACGTTTAGAATTTATATAATTTTTTCTTTAAATTAATATAAATGGTGTTGCAAATTTAATGCCCAGCAAAATAAAGATAATATGGGCTGACAAAACGATGTTTTTTTATATCAAATTACTTGTATGTTGCATACATGATTAGAGGTAAGGTTGGTTATGTATGCAGAATGCATAATAATTAGTATTTGGTGTACATAGCAGATGGAAAAAATTGCTTATATACAGTCTGGCTAGAAAAGGAAGAGCTGCCAAATGTGCCTGTGGAATGCCTTACAGCCTCTACAAGTGCCCAAACTTCATTTGTGATGATTAGCTTGATAGAGCCCATCAACAGTTATTTGTTAATCATTTCCCAGATGTGCTTAATTGAAGATGAATCTGGTGAGTATGCAGGTTAAGGAAGAAGTGACATATGGTAGTCATCCAGAAACAATAGGACATTTTATGATGCTCATGATGCTGGCATTATACTGTTGGAATATGAAACCAGCAAACCTCTGAAAATAAGTATTGGAAGCTGAGGCAATACTCTGTGATCTGAAGTACTAGCAATGTGTTTAGGCAAGAATAATACTATATTCCAATGGCATTCTACATCATAACAGCTGGTGCTAGGCCTTTAGTGCTTCACAGTGCATGCTCAGGAGCCTTTTGCCACTGTCCCTCCATATATATAGATCCATCCTTTGTGGGGCAATAAATTCATCTGAAAATACAATATATCTGTTCATCCTGTTTGTAGTGGCACTATTGTAATTGCAGATATCTGTGGTTGGGAGTCAGTTGTAATCAAAGTAATGAGAATACTGCTAAGTGGATTTTTGTTGGCTGAACTTTTTGTCCAATGAGAAAAGACCTCTGAATGTTAAAAAAAAAAAAACTGGTTCTAAAAGAGTGTTTCTTCTATTTGAACATTTTGTTCTAGAACTTGAAGTGGAGATCACTCTTTTAACTTACCCATTCAATGATTAATTAATTGCATTGACTAAAAAAATAAAGGAAACTGATTAAATAAATTAGCTCTTTGTGTCTGAGAATATCTTCAATTATTTTATCTGAGGCATTTCTGATAAAGGTGCTAGTTGCTGTAAATAGCATCGAGCAATGTGTAGACACCAGATGATGGGTGACAAATCACCACTGTTGGGCTAGNTTTTAAAATTCTGTCTTTTGATGATGATCCAAATTCTTTATGCTAAAAAAAAGATTTTAAAAATATTTTTACTGCTTAACATTTAGTTTAAATATCATTTGCTTATGACGCAGTTATTAACTATATTTTAGATCAGCTCTAGGTGGATATGGTGCATTTAAATCAGTCAAGCCACTTAAGGTGCCAAAGATCATCTAAGATTTTGATAGTCTACAAATTATTTAATTGTAATGCTGTATGGAACAACTTTGGGTGCGTATACTTTTTGTTTCGGATGGATTGATCTGTAAGATCGGATCGGTCTGTCACGTGACACAGACCGCTTCTATCGTGTGTTAATTGGCAGAAAGTATAGAAGTACGATTGAATCATATTTACTCCATGAATAAAAAATGCTAACATAATGGCAAAATGGGAGAGTGCACACCAAAAAGGAATTGCCGTGTACGGTGGTTGCAATTTACATTTCAATGATCAGATCTTTCTACCGTACATCCAAAGTTTAGACAAAATATATTTGGTAGAAGAGTTAACTATTAAAAATTCTTTTTTCTGAAAACATTAACTTTTATTTGAATGAAACTGTTCACAAAGTAACATTACTGTGTAATATTATCAATCTGTTTCACCATTTTTATCGTGAAAAAGTAAAAAAAAACTACTCCTATTTTTAAGTGCAGGTGTCTTCTAAACCCAGATTTCATTGTATTTCATTAATCAGATAATCCACAGAAATCTACTATTTTGTTTATACGGAAATTGTACAAAAATTTAAAACAAAATTTGCTGCCACCTTAACTGTCAAGCACACTGCTCCCACTAGTGGCAGGTCTGGAAAGCCATCTTGCATAACAGTCTGTTACTTTAGTAGTAGTGCGAAGGATATTAAAAGCAAAGCAATATGCCTGGGAAATTCTGTACCCTTGTGTTTCCTTTCACGGCAGGGATATAAACAGCCATTTTTCGGCAAGATAACGTTTAGCTACATATAGCTAGGGTTTCCAAGGAATGTTTTGTCACATTTTCTCGGTCTATCCGGTCTCCAGATTTGTTGCGCATCGAGCATTTGTGGGACCAGATGGGACGCCGGCTTTGGCCATCTACGAGCACAAGGGATCTAGAATGGCAGTTGCAACATCTGTCGGCAACTCTATCACAGGCATTACATGCTACTATTTTGTATAATTCCATGCTTGACCATATTACTCCATGTATCCTGGCAAGAAAGAAATCTGGATATCAGTACTTTGGGGGCATGCACATTTTGCCACCTTTGAGACGACAGCACGTGGTAGTCTTACATCCCGAACATCAATCCATACTATTTCTTTCTCCAAGTTTCCTGTGCAACCAGTTTTGAATTTTAGAGAATGGGATATAGAAATTTCTAAGCATTCAACCTTACAGATGGATTAGATTTGAACCATAAATTGCAGAGAATTTAATTCAAAATTCAACTGTCACTTAGTAGTTAATTGAATATTGGAGATAGAAAAAAAGTTATGTACTTTAGTTAATGGTTTTTCCCAAAATGTTTATTATTTAAATAATATACTATCTGAAATAATAAACTAAATAAATTACCTCTTCATGCACATGAGGCTGTCTCGTGATAAATTCCCTTTCTTCCAATAAAGGAAAATCTCTCTCTCTCGGTCTTCTGTGAAATGCTTGATTTGTTAGATAACATAATCTGCTTTAAAACAAAACTCATTTTAAAAATCAATATAAATCTTTTTAATTAAACTTTAGCTGTTATCAAAAATAATAATTCTGTATTGAAAAAGTAGAGAAGAGAGAAATAAATCATCTGAACATTTTTACAATTGAATTTACATTGAGCAAACATTACAGTAATGCAATTTTTTATTACCACCACCACCACCACCACCATCATCATGAATAATTTGACTTCTGCTTCAGTCTGATTTTTTAAACAGGAATGACATGATGATGATGATGNAAAATTTCTAAAACACATTTCTCATTCATTTGGATTGTGATCTTATCAGTGCAAACACTACCAAAATACTAAAATGCCTACTGTTTTTAGTTAGTATAACATAACTAAAGATAAAAATAAGCAAAAAATATTCTAATATCCATTCTATATAATTATTAAAGCAATAAGTAACTCCTTTGAATTTTAATAATGCTAATTTGCATATTATTGTTTAGTATTATTTGTATCTGATGACTGTTCCGTACCGTACATTGTTTTTTCAAATTTAATTTGTCATTTCTTTATTTAAAATAACCTTGATAATATCATTATAATTGGTATGGTGTAAAATAATTAAATATAATATCCAAAGCAAAAGAGATATATTATGACATTTCCTGAATTTATTAATAATTGCAGTGTATGGGAATAAATACTAGAGGAGAGGAAGTGAAAAAATTTTCCAATTAATGTCATAAGAATTTAGAAACACAAACTATTTTAAACTTAAATACAATAATACAACACATTTAAATATTTAATTTAAAATTTAAATTCTAGATGCAAGAAAATCATCAGGAAAAAAATATATTTAAATATTTAAACTCTGTTAACTGTTTACAATAAAAATCCGACAGATAACAGTTAAGTAGCTATGCGTCTATAAGTACTGTGTATCTCTACTTGTACATTATCTGATAAGTAGAGATGACACTTATATTCAGGAGCTTCTTAACCTGATTTGGCTTCTCGTTAAGGAGCTGCAAAATGTCTTATGACTTAATGTTGGGTTCATCAATCAAGAATTGATTTTTTTTTCTTTTTGCATATAAATACAAACAGATGGAATTATATAATGGAATAAAGTACAAAAGATAGGAAAACAAACAATAATATGATAAGCGAGTGGATAATGCAAACAAATCATTTAACAAGCATGCACTAACAATTTACAGTCTGACTTTGAAAATTTATGCTCTACAGAAAAACAAAAAGTGCTTTTGGGTTAAATACTTGTCTTGAGAAATCTAATTGGCTTCTGGTTATAGGTTGTTCAAAAATTTTGAGCAGATTTGTGATAGTCAAATGGTGCTTTGTAATCTCATGAATGAATGTTTAAGATGTCAAGTTTCAAGAAATTCAAAACTCCTTTCTCTAATCCTTAAAACTTCTAATAAAGCAGAAAGTAATAGAATTTTTTTTAATGTTTGTTTGCTGTAAGTTCCAAGAACTTTGACCTTTCAGCCCATTATCAGAGGTTTCACATTAAAAGACACTTTGAAAAACATTAGAGAGAATATTATCTGGATGATTACTGAAATTTTTCTAAGCTTTCACTAAATCGATTCTACAATTTCAATTCTTTGAAGTGATGCCCAATTGTATTAAGCCCATAAATTGTAGCAGCCCAAAAATATTTGCTTCACAAATGCGATTGGCATATCGCTAGTAAAATTGACAGTTAATCTGCAGTGAGTATTTTGGGAACCACTTTTGATATATTTTTATAAAAATGCTCACAATGTCTAATTAGTTTTTGGTTATATATTTCTGTAGAATATTGGATGTTATTGTTATTCAAAAATAATTGAAAATGAAATATTAGTAAAATTTAATTTTTCTTGCAGCATGTATGGAAGCCTACAGTCATACTGCCGAGCGATACGCCTGCAATCTTGGCTGTAGTAATCAAGTCCCATTTGCATCGCAGAAACAACAAGAGGTAAAAACACTGTAAAGTACTATATTATTTTTCCGACTTTTCCAATGATTATCGACACGAATATGTGTGCCGGAAATAGCCGTTACCTAACGAGTACTTTACGTAGATTCGCGTTAATGTGCCAGGCCTGGACTTTAAGCGTGCACCGAATTAAATAATGACAAAGCTATTCAAAAACAATCCAATATTTAATAAAAATTCTAGTAATAACTATATACAAAATTTAGTAAAAATCAAATAATTTATTCAATGTAAATCAACAAGAATCAACCCGACAAAACTCATATCAATCTATTTTCTAACTTAACTATTCCCCTTTGGAATTCGACAAAAAATTCAAAGACAACTTATTTACAACAATTCTTATGAATTAAAGGTCCTAATCGTCACCTCAATATACTAGGAACCTTTTTCCTTGACTCTCAAGACTTTCTCTAATCTTCGATCCACAAATCAAATAACTTCAAAATTGCCTTGGAACTACTTTATCCTATCGGACACCTCTCTGTCGTTTGCTGATGCAAAGCTCACCACGCTCGTTGCTAACAGAAACTCTCCTCCGTCATCTTCACTTGAGGTTCGGTCTTTATACTGTGAGGTGACGTCACAATTCTGATTGAGATCACTCCCCTCATTTACGTACTTATTTGCTAACAATAAAAACTTTGTTTGTCTGGCAACCTATTTTCCGAAAATACTCGCTAACCTTTTAAATTATTCTTTAAAACATCCCGAAAATTTTCAAATTCTTTAACGTTTAGCAAGTTCCTAAGTTTGTGCTTGTGGGGTATCCCCCTTTTTCTCGGTGCGGACTTACTTTTTTCCGCTTGGGAGCACAAGTGTGCGTGAGTTTTTTCTACGGCACTTTTCTCTCGTCAGTGAATTGGTTTCTCTTCTATTTCTAAGTTTCTAAGGTGAGTGATGAGGAAACCTTTGTCCTAAAAAAACATAAGCCCCAAACAAAAATAGAATAAAAGCAAAAATAACGCTTGGACTTGGTTCCTTACAACATTTAATATTTTCAGATCTCAATTTGTTCTCGAGTTTGTTTTTATCTTACACAATTTCATTCCAATTTATAACTATTTTTAATTCTTTCACCTATTTTGGTACTTGGTAAAAAAAATCATATTCTTAAATACAGAAACAAACAGTGGATAAATCTTTCTGATAAGTTCTTTGCGTTTTAGTAATTGTATTTGGCATAACATTTGTTACTGGCATCAACCGAATACTTCATTTACATATTCAGCAATGAAAATAATAATAGTTTTAATGTCTCCACAATTATTATAAAATACACTTGGCCCATTTGTCAGAACCATATTAAATACAATAGTATCCTACAACGAAGTATCTTGTGTGTCTAGAGCAGTGGTTCCCAAAATGGGTGCTATTGCCCCCAACAGGACAGTGAGTAAATCTAGGGGCGAAAAGAAGCAAGGGGACAGCGGAGGCAGGACCAAATGATGACCTTAGGCAAGAGTTTGGGTCACTGACAACCTTTTCCTTTTCTCTGTTAAAACAGATATGAAGAAACATTGCATTTAATGTGTTTCCAGACCAGATGTTGACAACAATGTATGGTAAAGACACAAAGTGTGAGATTTGTAGAAAAGCTTTGCTAAGAATATTTCCAAGCCTTTCTCACACAAGGAAAATTAGGTTGGGTCATTGGGTATAAGTTTATGCAGTCAAGAGGGCAGTGGCTGAAAAAAGTTTGATAATCACTGGTCTAGAGCTACAAAATGGTCTGTAGACTAAAGAATGAGGTGGTAGATACTGCCTGCAGGGAGAGGGGAGAGAATTTATAGAATTTTAGGTTTATATATGGACATCAAAAACGTTTAGAATTTATATAATTTTTTCTTTAAATTAATATAAATGGTGTTGCAAATTTAATGCCCAGCAAAATAAAGATAATATGGGCTGACAAAACGATGTTTTTTTATATCAAATTACTTGTATGTTGCATACATGATTAGAGGTAAGGTTGGTTATGTATGCAGAATGCATAATAATTAGTATTTGGTGTACATAGCAGATGGAAAAAATTGCTTATATACAGTCTGGCTAGAAAAGGAAGAGCTGCCAAATGTGCCTGTGGAATGCCTTACAGCCTCTACAAGTGCCCAAACTTCATTTGTGATGATTAGCTTGATAGAGCCCATCAACAGTTATTTGTTAATCATTTCCCAGATGTGCTTAATTGAAGATGAATCTGGTGAGTATGCAGGTTAAGGAAGAAGTGACATATGGTAGTCATCCAGAAACAATAGGACATTTTATGATGCTCATGATGCTGGCATTATACTGTTGGAATATGAAACCAGCAAACCTCTGAAAATAAGTATTGGAAGCTGAGGCAATACTCTGTGATCTGAAGTACTAGCAATGTGTTTAGGCAAGAATAATACTATATTCCAATGGCATTCTACATCATAACAGCTGGTGCTAGGCCTTTAGTGCTTCACAGTGCATGCTCAGGAGCCTTTTGCCACTGTCCCTCCATATATATAGATCCATCCTTTGTGGGGCAATAAATTCATCTGAAAATACAATATATCTGTTCATCCTGTTTGTAGTGGCACTATTGTAATTGCAGATATCTGTGGTTGGGAGTCAGTTGTAATCAAAGTAATGAGAATACTGCTAAGTGGATTTTTGTTGGCTGAACTTTTTGTCCAATGAGAAAAGACCTCTGAATGTTAAAAAAAAAAAAACTGGTTCTAAAAGAGTGTTTCTTCTATTTGAACATTTTGTTCTAGAACTTGAAGTGGAGATCACTCTTTTAACTTACCCATTCAATGATTAATTAATTGCATTGACTAAAAAAATAAAGGAAACTGATTAAATAAATTAGCTCTTTGTGTCTGAGAATATCTTCAATTATTTTATCTGAGGCATTTCTGATAAAGGTGCTAGTTGCTGTAAATAGCATCGAGCAATGTGTAGACACCAGATGATGGGTGACAAATCACCACTGTTGGGCTAGGATCTGTAATGTGAGCTGCTCAGTTCATTTTTTTTGCTGCAGTATGTTTAGTCCCTAAGATTTACTATAGAAACTTATAGTACTGTAACTACCAATAGTCACTCAATGAATGGTAAAACCATTTAATGATGTTAAATTTAATTTGTGACAATTTGAACTTAAAAATATAATAAATTGAAATTTCAAAAGTTCTTTCTGATGATAGAAATATTTAAATGTAGTATTTTGTATGTACTAGGAACAGAAACAAACTTTACATCTCATGATGCCCTTGTTGTACATCCAGTCGATGTATAACAATATCGTGGATCACGTTTCACGTCTGGTTACTAAAAGCTGGACATTATACATTCAGCAAGACAACGGAAAAATGGTGATCGTTCGTTCTCAGCCGGAAACCGTGCAGGAATTTTCGGATACAGATGAATGTAAGTCTTATTTTTTAAAATTAAAAGTAGATTAATTTCTTATGTAGAAAAAAGTGCAAATTTAGAAACTTAAAATTGAAATCAACCAAAAAAAAACTTTAGCAATAAACTGAAAAACACATGAGGTAGCTAAACAGTTAATAAAAAAATCCAGCAACAACTTTCATAACTTTCCTGACAATAAATTTAAAATTGTATGTGGCAACATCTGTTAAAACTTTTTGCCATTTTATAATAATTAATATTAAAAAATCATAATTTTGAGAATAGAGATGAGTTTTATAAAAAGTTGCAAATATTAATGAGTAAAATCTTCATTATGTCCAACCCCACTAGAGATACGTCTGACCTCCCTCTATCTCCCCACCCTTAAACCTTTAACTATCAAAATTTAATGGCATTAATCATCCTAATACACAAACCTCTCCTCAAAACTGTGAAGCTTTATTGTTGAAAATTTCTAAAGTGAGTGAACAAAATTGTGCAACCCCACACACACAATTGTATACAGAAAATCTCCCAATTATGTAAAAATGTCTACATGCTTCTGATATAGAATAATTCCTAGGACAGGATTTACAGATTATAAAAAAATATTTAGTTTGTTTATTTCTGTTTTCATTATTTTGATTTAAAATGTATAATTAAAGTGAAGTAATGTCTAAAGTGTTTCAGTTTATATACAATTCTCACAGATTTATAAAATAATTTAGATTAAAACAGAATTGTAAATCAAAGAAACTTACGATAAATTTCACGAACATACTCCAGAAAATTGTTAGAACAGAAATAAAACCTTTTCATAAAGACTGTCGACATGTAATGTTTTATCATAAGTCTTGCTTGATCATGCCAGAGAAATTAGACAAATTGTTACACATGGGCATGAACCGAATGACGTTTGACACCTCTCAAAAGACTCGACGAGCTAGAAGACAGGTGTTTGCATTGTAGATGCTCATTCATCTTATCTGTCAATTTTCTTTCCGTACTGCATTATCTGCAAGTGTCAGCAAGTTCCAGTATCCTAAGTATTGTTTTTCTTCACCCATTAAGATGTCAGACTTATGACTGTGGTCTTGTGACTTTTTTACAGAATATATAGAATTATACTGTGGTTTTCCTTGCCTAATGAAAAGTTAAATCAAAGAATTATAGTAATATAGAAAAAAAAGTCAAAAATATGCTGGTTTGATTAATAAATATTGAAAAGTGGATCATGATGCTACTGCATTTCTGATCTTCGTTAATGCGTTAATTATGATTCATTTGTGACAGAAGAGCAAACAAAGATGCAAATAGCCTGAAAAGATAGTAATTAAAATTTACTTTTTAATAAAGCAATAAAAAAATTGATTCTAGAGAAATGGTATGTCAAAGTCAGAACACGTGTGTTCTAATTCAATTTTTGTAAATTTTGAGATAAGTACACTATAGTATTCTAATGGTAATGTAGTATCATGGTATAGAGAAAACGTTGGGTTTATCATTTTCATTGGTAAAGAGGACATAATTATGTACTAATTCCAGGATCATTTTGGAACCAGATTGTAAAAATTAGTAAATTAATGACACAAAGCTAGTTTGCTGTAAATAAGAAAATATGTTGTGTTTAACTTGACAGCCTATGATGTTGCAAAAGGAAAGGTTATTGCTTTCTACAGCAGGAAGGACTGACAATGACATTTTATTAATGTCTATAGCAAATGCTGAAGGACTGAATGTTAAGAAAACTAAAAGTTAAAAAAAACCAAGAAAATGTTCTCTCAAAATCAAAATGCTTCAATGACTGCAGCCATTACAAAGTTCTTGAAACGAGGACACAGTGCATGTGAAATACATCAAAAGTTTCAAGAGCCAGGCTGTAGTTGTGTGCAAGAAGTAGATACCTAACATTCCTTCAGTTAATAGCGAGGTTGTGGCCAAAGTTTTCATCTCTAAAACATAAACATTGAGCGCCCCTATCTTGTAAGCGACATTCACATTTTAGAGAGAAAATCATAGCCACAACCTTGTTAATAGCGAGGTTGAGGACAAAGTTTTAAACGTGAATGTCGGACGTTCAGTGCCGCTTTCCTGTAAGCCTAGAAGTTTGACAATGGTGTTTGGAATGTCGAGCATGATTCCACTGACTAACCAAACACCATTGTCAAACTTCTAGGCTTACAGGAAAGTGGTGCTGAACGTTTGACGTACACGTTTTTCACGTTAAAACTTCGTCCTCAACCTCGCTAATGATCTTAGTTTTTTATTTGAAGAAATGAGCTGCAGAATCTCCACATTATGCTTACGAGTGGATATTCAGTCCACATGCAACTCTTGTCTGCATTTTTATAGATCCAGGCTGTGTGTAAATCAGTGATTCTCAACCACTGTGCTGCGGCACTTCAGTGTGACGCAAGATTTTTGAAGTGTGCTGCCACTGCGAATATCTATACTGTACATAAGTGATGTCAGACTAGTAGTTTAATCGGCTGTACCTTCCTAGAGTGCTTTTGGAAATTGTAACTGGTGTTACTGGTAACTGCCAGTAGTTACCAAGGCATTTAGAAAATATGACCTAAATAACCAACTGCATTTAAAAATCACTGTTATGACGTCACCAATTGTCCTGCGGTACTTACCAAAGTAACCGTGTGCTAAGTTAACCGTAAAGTTAAATTATTAAAAGTGTACTGTGACGAATAAAAGGTTGAGAATCACTGGTGTGAATGCAGAATTCTTGATTTATTTTGGCTGTTTGTTCTTTGAGCAGTCTCGAGGATGTACTTATCTAGATTTTAAAAATTTTTATTAAACTATACTTTAAATTCAAATTTTTTTAGTTATAGATTCACAAGAAAATGATTTTCCCAACGAACCAATCAGATTTGAAGGTGCACAGATGCACAGGCTTACCGCTTATCGAAGCAACTCCCACTACGGCGTGGCTCTCGGAGGATTTGGTCGTGAGGAAGTCTCCAGATATCCTGAAAGAACGGCAGCGGCAGACTGGTTGGGTTGCATCTCGAGACAGTCTGGCATACCGCGATGGTTGTTGGTGTTAGTACTGTTCTTGGCCGTAATGGTCATGGTGTGGCTTTGCTGTGCCACCGCAGTCACTGCTCCGGAACAACATCTTCGCCCTCAGGTGAGTTTTGCAAAAGATCAAAATACAGAATACACAAAATTTAAAACTAATCAAAATTTATATTCATTTCAGAAACTTCATATCAATGGTGATCTTGATTATTTATTAGTTTGTAGTCCCGCAGAAAAAATCAAGATTCAACCGCCTCAAGATCCTCAGGCACCGCCTCTGCCCGTGAAAATTAATTTAAATCAGGCATAGTTCATTCAGATCATACTTTTACTCAAACATTTATTTAGTTATTTACCTTACGTTAAAATTGCACATCACCAAAAATTTAAATAGTTTTGCATAGTTCGAATGCAACACAATACAGTCTAAAATAAGAGTACCATAATAATAATAATAAGCCTTCACGTCGAATGAAGTCGGTAGTCGAAACTTTGATATCTTGTTGTAATTTTTGGTAATGAGAAAAATTTTCTATGTTGATTTTTTTATTATTATTATAATGTACAGTTTTTCTTTATGATGTTCGAGCATTTAATTTTTATCGGTAATTAACGATGGGTTCGTACGCCTTGTTGGTACGTGTTGTGTTACATACGTAAACATTAAGGATGATTTCGGATGTTATTCTATTTAAGAGACAAATTTAAGTAATTTAGCTCTGGATCCCAAAAGATCTAAAACATGCATTTTAATCAGATAGTGCAGTATAGCATTTTCAATATAGGTGTGTATTAATTTTACATTGTCGTTCTGAGGTGGGTCGGCAATTTATCGAATTTCATTGCCAATAATGAAAGTCTGTGATGTCTCTCGTGAAATCAGTACTAGTCTTTTTTTGACTTTTCGATCGACGGCTCTCGCCATACATGTTGTCCATTGCATCGTTTGCATTTTTCATTCTTCCTCGAAAGGTTTTTTGCACTTTAATATTAATCGGGAGTAGTAGTAATAAAGTTAAGCACGGAAATCAAGGTAAGAGTCTCAAATGGTCCTGTGCAATACGAAACATTTATTTTTTAATTTTGTTATCCACGTGTATTCCGATCGTCGGTAGTTATTCCGAATTTATCGAAGCGCCCACCCCGTCGGCTTGGATTTTATTTTTATTGGCTCTGCCGCCAAAATAAGATTTGGCCTATGGTTTGTACATATAGGATTGTCTGTTATAACTAACTTGGCACAGATAAGTTCTGTTAGATGTTATTACTATTGCTCTATATGTCATCTTGTAAGTACTTTAATAACACTACTGGTATGTATTGTTATCTCAATGAAGATATCTAAATTGCTGTACTAAAGAATTTCACATTCAATCGATGTTAAACAAGATTGAAGGTTGTATGAAAAAATGACATTTGAAAATAAAGAGTACTATAGTCATATATAACCTACTATGTTTGAAATTATTTGCAAGCATGATGCATATAACTTACAAATTTTGGTACAAATGCAGCTCCAAACAAGGCGGTCGGGACTGTAGGAGTAAAAACCTTACTGAAAGGATTCCGAACTTTTCTTGAAACAATGCAAAAAATCAACTGTTTTCCACTACAATGGCATTTTATGAGCTTTTAGTTCATAAAACACAGGAAATGCCATTGTATTGACTACTTCCAGGCATGATTAGAGCCACTGTGTGTACTATGTTAAGCCTTTTGGGGGCTATATCTCACAAAGGGTTGTGTAAACCATTGGTCTTTGACATTTTTACTCCTACGGGCATAGTCTAGAGCTCTGATAAGGTCCCACCTACCTCATTCAGAGTTGTATTTGTATCCAAATTTCCTTAAATTTTATTAATGCTCATTCATTATTATTAGCAATTTACATCATCACGTAGTCGCCAATTTCAGTGGGAAAAGACTAAGTGATGATGTAATTACTGGACTAATACTGAGTAAGTTAATTTTATGTTCACATGAGCCTGTTGTTGTCCTGCTACACATTTCAAGATTTACTTTGTAATAAGTAAATGTTCAATTTTAGACATTAATAACACTTAGTTTTCTATATGCAGTGTGATCAAAAAGTTTACCAGTATGGAACAGACTTGTATGCAGTTTGAAGGTAGAAATTTCAGAAATGTTGTTGGGTAAAGTATATTACATCAGATACAAGGATTAATAATTATCATATTTGTTAATAGGAAAAATAACTATGTTTACAAAGCAATTAATTAGTCCTTATAAAGGGATGGAAAAGATTCTTTGCACACAAAAAACAATCTCTCACCTGTGATGATACCTCCATTGTTTTTACGCATCAGTTCATTCATTACCTAAACATTTTTTTTAAATTTCTCATTGTTACCATACATTGAGAAGTTTAAAAATCGTAATTAAGTTACGATCATCATCAAAATATGCTATCTATGGCCATTACTACCATAACATCCTGATAGCTCAGTAAATTTTCTGATTAGAGTGCCATACATTTTCACAAAAGGAAATACGTCACACAAAGTAGTATATATAAATGAAAATTATAAAAGTACAGAGCTATTTACAAATTTATCATCAAGACGACCATAATTTCATGTAATGTTTTTTGTACAGGTTATAAGAAAAAATTGTATATAAAGAACACAAGATAAACAGTTTACAATAATTAAAATGTTCCCATATTCTAGACTCCTTTGATTAAATTCACAGATGAGCTTGGTGTCAAATTATAATTATCTTGATCAAATAATCTTGGTTATTAAATTTTACACTTCTTATTGTAATCCATTAAATTAAAAACACAGATGACATAAAAATGACCAGAATTAAGATCAGGACTGACCACTCGTTTGGATTTATATGCCATATATATAAATTTACAGTCGTGTGGTATCCGTATTCAATGTGCTATCTACAGAGAGATATAGCAGTAAGATGACTAAAAATCAATATTAAAACTTGCCACTATAGCTAGCAATTTCAGCACCCAAGCAACAAATGTTTTATTTGAATGAGATGCTCGTGCTATATGGAGACCTTGGCCATGCAGAGAATATTGCTTGACGTGGTTTCCATTCTAAAGGAATAAAAAGTGTTGAATGGTGTTCGGCTGACTGTAATCGATACTCTGATGCTGTCTTTCGAAACTGTCTCCAATACCCCTGGTATTGTAATTTTTGGTTGTGGAGAGTTTAAATGGATTATCAGATTGCTGCATAATGTTCAGATTCTTTCTTAATTCTTAACTCTGTCTCTCGTGCACTAAAAGGACCTTTTTCCCATATCTGCAGCAGGGAAGATCAGATGGCAACGGATGGGGTCTGACACGCTCGGGATCATTACTCCCATAAAAAATATTGTTAGATCCTTCGTATCTAGTTGAATGCATGATCACAACACTGACAAATCTAGTGAAAATTGGGTAGAATAGCCAATCACTAAAATGAATATTGCTGAGTTTGGATTTGATTCCCAGTCCCTCAAAGTGATAGATCAGTGCTTTACTAGCCCATTATAATGCCAAGTTTTGGTACTTTTATGGACTTGCAAAAGGCATTTCCATTAAAACGATGTTACCATGTTGATTTGAATAAGGATATTTTAGATGATCAGTTACTTCCAGTTTTATCATCTGGTATATAAAAATCTATAGTTATATTTTCAAATGAACAGGATATAAGTCATAAAATACTGACATGAGAATGCAATAGTGCATCATTTGCAGAAATGTAATAGTAATGAATTGTATAGAGCATTGAAATATATCTTTTGTAGTAATTAATCAAGAACAAAAGAAAAATGTCAGTTTATTACTTTTCACTGCTTTGAAAAACTGCTTTGCAACAAAGAAATATTTAACAGTTTGCTTGAATGGTCATTGCAGCTATGTTCTTTACGCAAACGGTAGAAATGTGAATTTTGAATATATTTGCATATAAACACTTAATTTTTTTCTTGCCTTTGCAATCTTTTCCAACATCGATTTGACAAGATAATTGCTCCTACAAAATACTGAGAACAATAAAATTAATTTATTACTTTTAAAACTCTGTCTTTTGATGATGATCCAAATTCTTTATGCTAAAAAAAAGATTTTAAAAATATTTTTACTGCTTAACATTTAGTTTAAATATCATTTGCTTATGACGCAGTTATTAACTATATTTTAGATCAGCTCTAGGTGGATATGGTGCATTTAAATCAGTCAAGCCACTTAAGGTGCCAAAGATCATCTAAGATTTTGATAGTCTACAAATTATTTAATTGTAATGCTGTATGGAACAACTTTGGGTGCGTATACTTTTTGTTTCGGATGGATTGATCTGTAAGATCGGATCGGTCTGTCACGTGACACAGACCGCTTCTATCGTGTGTTAATTGGCAGAAAGTATAGAAGTACGATTGAATCATATTTACTCCATGAATAAAAAATGCTAACATAATGGCAAAATGGGAGAGTGCACACCAAAAAGGAATTGCCGTGTACGGTGGTTGCAATTTACATTTCAATGATCAGATCTTTCTACCGTACATCCAAAGTTTAGACAAAATATATTTGGTAGAAGAGTTAACTATTAAAAATTCTTTTTTCTGAAAACATTAACTTTTATTTGAATGAAACTGTTCACAAAGTAACATTACTGTGTAATATTATCAATCTGTTTCACCATTTTTATCGTGAAAAAGTAAAAAAAAACTACTCCTATTTTTAAGTGCAGGTGTCTTCTAAACCCAGATTTCATTGTATTTCATTAATCAGATAATCCACAGAAATCTACTATTTTGTTTATACGGAAATTGTACAAAAATTTAAAACAAAATTTGCTGCCACCTTAACTGTCAAGCACACTGCTCCCACTAGTGGCAGGTCTGGAAAGCCATCTTGCATAACAGTCTGTTACTTTAGTAGTAGTGCGAAGGATATTAAAAGCAAAGCAATTTGCCTGGGAAATTCTGTACCCTTGTGTTTCCTTTCACGGCAGGGATATAAACAGCCATTTTTCGGCAAGATAACGTTTAGCTACATATAGCTAGGGTTTCCAAGGAATGTTTTGTCACATTTTCTCGGTCTATCCGGTCTCCAGATTTGTTGCGCATCGAGCATTTGTGGGACCAGATGGGACGCCGGCTTTGGCCATCTACGAGCACAAGGGATCTAGAATGGCAGTTGCAACATCTGTCGGCAACTCTATCACAGGCATTACATGCTACTATTTTGTATAATTCCATGCTTGACCATATTACTCCATGTATCCTGGCAAGAAAGAAATCTGGATATCAGTACTTTGGGGGCATGCACATTTTGCCACCTTTGAGACGACAGCACGTGGTAGTCTTACATCCCGAACATCAATCCATACTATTTCTTTCTCCAAGTTTCCTGTGCAACCAGTTTTGAATTTTAGAGAATGGGATATAGAAATTTCTAAGCATTCAACCTTACAGATGGATTAGATTTGAACCATAAATTGCAGAGAATTTAATTCAAAATTCAACTGTCACTTAGTAGTTAATTGAATATTGGAGATAGAAAAAAAGTTATGTACTTTAGTTAATGGTTTTTCCCAAAATGTTTATTATTTAAATAATATACTATCTGAAATAATAAACTAAATAAATTACCTCTTCATGCACATGAGGCTGTCTTGTGATAAATTCCCTTTCTTCCAATAAAGGAAAATCTCTCTCTCTCGGTCTTCTGTGAAATGCTTGATTTGTTAGATAACATAATCTGCTTTAAAACAAAACTCATTTTAAAAATCAATATAAATCTTTTTAATTAAACTTTAGCTGTTATCAAAAATAATAATTCTGTATTGAAAAAGTAGAGAAGAGAGAAATAAATCATCTGAACATTTTTACAATTGAATTTACATTGAGCAAACATTACAGTAATGCAATTTTTTATTACCACCACCACCACCACCACCATCATCATGAATAATTTGACTTCTGCTTCAGTCTGATTTTTTAAACAGGAATGACATGATGATGATGATGATGCAAATACACAATCTCTTATCTGAAAATCAAAAGTTTATCCTGCACACCAAAGCTTGTATTTGATACCAAAATGCCCCAATTACACACATACAACACACCTGTGATTTGGTGTGTGTATCAGTTTGCATTTTGGTACTCTTACCAGTTACACGACCGTCTTCCTGCTTCTCAAAGTGACAAAACACTAATAAAACTATTAGCAAGCAGTAAAGTGTTTGAAAATTATTATTGATAGCACAAAACTCGAATGCACGTAGCCGTGTGGCATCTTAAGTTCCGAAATTTAAAACTTCCGAGGATTTCGGATAAGTGATTGCACACCCGTATATATTTTATTTATAATTACCTTTATTACATTTTGTAAATAATTAATTGTAATTTTGGTGAAATAGCTTTGAATAATGCTTTGAATCAGGACCACTTTTCTTCTGTAATGATTATAAAATTCTTCCTGATTCTTTGTCTTTAGTGTTGCTTGTCTTCTTTCAGTTTTATTCATCTGTCAAAAAAGCACAAAGTAATGTTATTAAGCCAGTTTTTTTAATTTTATATAACTACTATATTTACCAATCTTTCAATTTCCTGAATATTTTTCTCCCACCAACACTGTATTGCCACAGCTGCCATGTTCTGTTATAAGATTATTACTGTAGATACATACAGTTATGTATGTACCTAAAAGATTCTCAGTTATCCCAAATGAATCACAATGGATGTTGTGGAAAAAACCTTAGTATCAATAGTTAGTGTGGTTTGATGAGATAAGGCAACATAATACAAAGGTGATCTATTAAAGGGGTATCTCCTGGGAGGACTTTCTACAGGAAACAGGTCTCTGTTTAGAGGTTTTAGAAATATGAAGTATATTCAGAAAACTATACAGTTTTTGCTTGTTCGTCAGTGTAAACAACATTCTCTACATACTAATTAATACTCACACATTTTGTTGATGAGACAGAAAACACACACACACAAAGCTGTTATCATTATTGGCTCACATGTAAAAGGCCACTAACCAACACTTACTTCCACATCGTCAGATATACTTAATTATCCTGGTCAAACTACACAATTTCTGTGAGGAAGAGATGCTCAACAGATTGATTTTCCATTATATCTCGCATCCTGTATTTTTATATTCATCATCCTAATTGATTCAAAGATGGATAATCAAGAATCTGCTGCATAAATAATCACCATTTCTAAGCTTATAAAATAGCTTTGCAGTCTCTTTCTAATCAAATATGTTCTGGAAACATTTTGCAATATTATCACCAGATTCAAATTCTAAAATAAAATTTATAAAATGATCTTTAGCGATTTAAACTAGACGATAATCTGGAAGAGAACAAAGCGTACAAGTACTGAGAGATAACGATCGTAGGTCTTATCTTTATTTTCTTTCCACCATCTATGTATGATTGTAGCAGATGTATTCTATCAAATAAAACTATTTTTAGTTTTTAAAGTAAAAAAATAGATTTTAAAAGTAAATTGTGATGATAAGGATAAATGTAGAATAAAATTAGACTTTTCGATGATACAATCATCATTATTACATAATTTTAAGGACATCCAAACACTTGATTTTTAATTTCTTGCATCAGCCTGAAGAGGACAGTCCTTGAATTATGTGTGTAATTCAAGGAGAGGGAAGGAAGTAAGATGTACAGAACATTGTTACACACAGCAGGAAGGAAGGAGGTCTGATTGTTGTCTAAGTCAGTGTTCCGCAACCTTTTTCTACTCGCGGCACACCTATGACTCGACATGGCACACCAAAATGTTATTTCCTCAAAAACGTATGATATGATACTACTGTATTAATAGAATTTCGTAATGCCATAAACCTATTATTATTATATTGAGTTTTGTGAGTCACACTAGGTTGACACCGATGGCTGTATACTATGCCGGACCAGTCAAGGCATAGTAACTTCAAAACAAGACAAAAATTAAATAAGCGTGTTAGTGTGTGTCTGTATTCAGGAATTTCCTAACAATATGACATGTATTCAATATAGAGGCATTCTGTAGTGTGATGTATGTGTTTCTATTCAATTTTAATGTTCGCAGGCTTTTGTGTAGCGTGTGTGGTATGACACATGTAGAGGAGAGAACGACAGGTACAATAAGCACCCTATTCATCCTCCATAGATGCCTTATTTCCTGGGCGAGTTCTATGTAGTTGCTGATTTTTTCACTGCACGTGTTTTGTACATTGTGAGTGTTTGGAACAGATATGTCTATAATGTATGTGATTTTATTGTGTTTGTCAATGAGTGTGATGTCTGGTCTGTTGTGGTAAATTGTTTTATCTGTGATTATGGCTGTCGTAGTACAGTTTGTGCGTGTTGTTTTCCAATACTGTCTGTTGAACGTATTTATAGTATAGTTTGTGGATGGCTAATAATTTGTGTTTCTTTGCAAGCTCTTGATGTATTTGCTACTTGATTATGTCTATGTAAATTATCTGTCTGTGCCAAGAGCTTGGAACCAGAAATGATGTGATGTACTGCATAGTTTCTGGCATGATGTGACATTTTCTGCATGTGTCATTTCTGAGTGTTGTATCTTTGAGTATGTGTTTTCTGTAGTTTTTAGTATTTATCACCTGATCCTGTATGGCAATCATAAACCCTTCTGTCTCCCCAAAGAGGCATCACTGAGCTAACCAGCTATTTGATGCAGTTTTGTCAACAAAATCCTGGGCTAGGTCATAGGGATGTCTGCCATAGAGTGCCTTTTGAACCCATGATTGCTTGATGATGTCTATGTTTTTTATATGTTCTGTCTTGTCCATATAATGCATATTTAAGTTTAATGGTGATTTTATTTGAGTCTGATGTAACTGATGTTTCTTGTTTTTTTGTAGAAAAACTCGCAGTGTCTGTATTTGTTTGTAGTGAAGGTTTACTATGTCAATCAGGCCACGTCCACAATCTTTACATGGAAGGGTTAATCTTTCTATGGATGACGTTGTTTATGCTTAGTAAGTGTTGTTCTTGTTTTCATTTGGAGTTGCTCAAGATCTGTGTGAGTCCAATGTTGTTTATGCTTAGTAAGTGTTCTTGTTTTCATTTGGAGTTGCTCAAGATCTGTGTGAGTCCAATGTATAACTCCAAAAGAATAAGTGAGTACTGGGACGACATATGTGTTTATTGCTTTAACATCATCTTATTTCATCAGTGAATGAAATACAAGCATAATAAACACAACAACTGCAATAAAAATATATAAATAAAACTTAAAATTAATAGAATATGTAAAAGTTCACATCACACCTTTTACTTTGTGATGGCACACTGGTTGCGGAACACTGGTCTAAGTGGATGTTTTAATAACATTAGTGGAATATGAATTTTTTCTTATAAGCATACTTATTAGTGATGGGAATAAACTAATTCATTTCTTCAATGTCTTCACGAACGTGTAATTAAAGGGGAGAGATTTTTCCAAAAGTACATCACTTGGGGAGGAAGAGGGTCAAAACTGGCTCAGAGACTGTACTCATAATTAATGGACAGTCCCATGTAAAATATAATTTCATACACACAGAAATACAGTACTATTGTACATGAGTGTTGTGCATAGAAACTTTGCCATTAGAATGACCATTCTCAAACTTGTTCTATTGTATGTCTTACCAACTTTCTTCTATATCTTCTATTTTTCCAGCATAGATTCATTTTTATTATATTCTGTACTTTGATAAATTTATCTTTTACCCGGAAAATCAATTTGAATGAATAGATAGGTGTATTTTATGTAATTTAGACAATTGTAGACGATTTTAATCTTGTTATGCACACAATCTTCAATGGATAATATTAAAAATACAATTATCTGCTGGAGATAGTGTACATAATAGTAGGTTATAATCGGCCTTTGTCTTTTTGAAAGTCTTCTTAAACTATCTTTTATTGTAATTTTAAAATATAATAAAGCTTATAACAAAGCTTTTAATATACCAGTTTATTACTTCATTTTATAGAAATTCTATAGAAAAAAAATTAATTTATAGATTAAAAATTTGAATTTTGAATTTATAATAATAATTACATGGTTTTGGAATGTAGATAGGGACAAAGTATTCCAACTGCTTACATTTAGAATTAACAATTATTAGTATAATAATTGTTAATTCTAATTGTAATACCTAATTTATATCTAACAGAATAAACAATTATTCTAAACCCAAATCCAGAAGCAATATTTTCAATAAACTTGAAAGTTAATTGAATAGTTTGATTCACTTTTGTCATTAAACTCCTATCTAATATTATTAAATAACAAGTATTTGCTAATTGCAGCCTTACGGACTTTTATTGAAATAATTAGGCACGTTCTAATGAATTTCAGGCCTACAAAGTATACATAAATCAGTAGTATTTACTATATAAACTATTGATTTATAATCTTCATATTAATATCTTAAATTTAGTAAAAACTGTGTAATGTAGTCTCATATCCATGCAATTTCTCTTTTCATATCACTAGTGAGTGTGATGCATCATCAAGGATCCAGAAATATGTGTGTGGGTCACCCGCACACTTGCATAGACGTCATATGGTTACTGTACTGTAAAAAAAACAACAGCTAACGACGACTAGCAACACATTATAATGCAAGGAGCTGTCATATCAATATGGATGCCCCTGTCAAATGCAAATCTATGATACACATGACAATGCCCAATGAAAAAAGGTTGAACAAGAAATTTTATTCTTTATCTTGGAGCTGTTTGTGTACTTAGTATTTGAGTTTGATACACCTGTTTCTCTGGTTCATCCAGTGCTCTTTTAACATTGCGCTTGCTTTTAAACTCATGAGCGACAGAAGAGTGCTAGTGTGGAAAATTCTGCCTCGTGTGACTACATTTATGATTATGTATCAGACTGGAGTGCCAAATGGTAGAAAAGATTTTGGCCATGAGTGTACTTGTACTTTTTATTTGCATCAGTTATCACAGAGACAGCCCATTTTTCAAACATGATACTTGTTAGATACCCCTAAATTGATTGTACAGTACTATGCTAATGCAGACCAGAAATACAACAGAAACACAACACTTACATTATTCCTTTCTATACAGTAAACTGTTGACTAGTAGTACACTATATTTACATTTTCAGTTAACCATGTCTTAATTCAAATGAGTAACAAAAATTCATAATTTTTAAAAATTTCTATACTGATTTGTTAACTATTACATTTACATTACAGAGAATGAGAATCCTTTTTTGGGAGTGTCTCATTCTGCCCTGTGGGCACCAAAAGCTTTTTTAAAACCCATCGTGGGCTCTGCTAAGCCTGCAGCGGGTGTGATAGAGCAGTTAGGAATGGGTTTCCAATATATTCAGAATAGACACCCACGAAAAATTCCTGGAGGTTGCAGTCTGAATTCAATCACTAGTCCCCAAAGCAGTAGGCTAACACCTCGACCACTTTGGCTGTCTGGCCGTCTCCTCCTCCTCCTCCATCATCATGGAAAAGAGAAAAATATTTCCAAATTTGATTAAGTCTTCTTTTCCTCATCACTTTTTTCAAGATGATGATTTTTCAAATTGTGTTTGGAATTTGTTACCCTGAAATTTGGAACCTGCTCCTGCCCTTCTTTGTACAGTTAAATTTTTTTTTCGAAATTAAGATAAATATATTTTTTGTTTTTTGGCGTGACTTCGCCGAATATTCAGCGGAATTTCAGTCTCCAGTAACTGCCATTGATTACAACAACGGGCGGTCGGGATTTGGACACGTAGTCTAGCCTCTTTGGCTAAATTGCAACTCAATAATTTTTTTATTATGTGTTGAAAACGTTTATAGATACGACGTCACGCGCATGGGGCAAGTATTAATAGTAGTAGTAACTTTGAGTCGAAGGGACAATAAATCAGTATTAGGTATCAAGAACCGCTGATCCGACAGTAGTGCGAATCTACGTAATTACACAATTATTTTTTTTATAATGAGTTAACTATATTACACATCATTTCTTATGATTATTTATAAATTTTATTTTATAAAATAATAACGTAATTATTCACGCCACACTAAATGATTTAAACCAAGGACTGTATACTACAAGGATAGCCAGATCCCTATTCTACAATGTTAGCCAGGAATGGCAAGTTAGTGACGTCAGCACGTGTCCTGACCTCTCTGTTTACCTAGAGCAGGATGTGCACGTGTTTAGTTTTCGCTTTTCATATTCGTCCAATTTTGTGATTAACGAAGTGATTTATTTTAATATTTTTGTAATTGTTTTATTTGACTAAATTTTTTATAAGGTAAGATGATTTAAATATAAGTCATTAAATATTTAAAGCTATATTTTTATGTTAGGTGAAGAACAAAATGCTGAGTACTAGGTGTGCTGTGTACGGTTGCAATAATAACCTTCTTTTTTCAAATTGGAAGCAACCTGTTTACATCGGGTTTGATCAAAAAATGACAAGAGAAATACTTTTAAAATTAATAGCAGAACTTTATTTACTATCGTATAATGTAGTAGCTTGCGTCAGTGACTGTAGTTGCAGTAACATAAGTTTATGGAAAGAATTGAATGTGAATATCAATGAAACGTTTATTATGAATCAATTATTATTATCAATGAAACGTATATTAGAGATATAAATATGTGGTTCGACATTTTTAATAGCTATGCACCAAAAGGTTCTGTTCCAAGCAAAAATGGATATGGTGTAGACTTGGAATTACAAGAAGAACATTTAAATAAAATGATAAAAATAATCTCAACAATGAGAGCAAGTGGAAAAAATGCCCTCCAAATTTTCCAGAAAGGAATGATAATCTCAATGAAATCGCTAATTGATCTTTTTCAAGATATGAAATCGACTTTTGATATAAAATACATCTGCACTTAAATCAAGATTGTCTGGAAAATTTTTTTTTTTCAAATTAGAAGCCGGGGTCCTAATGAACATCCAAGCCCATTAAATGCTATATATAGGATTAGATTGATTATTTTAGGTAAGAATCCTGGTATTTTAGAGTCAAAAGTAAATACTACAGATCGAAGACAAGAGGAATATATTATACCCAAAGTTTTAGAGAAAGCACATGTAGAAGTATCAAGTGAAAATACAGACCAATATACTGAATGTAAAACTACTTTTTCTTCAAATAAATCTTCAGGAAACTCTACATGCAATCTAGACTTTAACACAATCTCTGAAGAAACTTCCTACGATGCTCTCGAGTATATAGCAGGATATTTTGCCTATAAATATAAAGAAAAATACCCAAACTTAATTAATTCCACTAACAAAATTAAAAATCATTACAACTATAGCATTCCGTCATGGGTGCAACATTTATCTTATGGAGGGCTTATTAAACCTACTGATGAATGGCTAGCAAAAATTATAGAATGGAATAAATATTTCGAAATATATCACGATGAATCGTATAAAAAAGGCCCCGGAGTTGTACAGAATTAGTCAGTGGAAACAGTTTTACCTTTTACTTTAATAAAAGATTTTTGTAAATTAAGAACTATAATAAGAATTAATTATAGAAATCTTAAACAAGAAAACTATAAAATATTGAAAAGAATGCCTTCTGAAAATGGTGATTGTCGAAAAAAAATTAAAAAGTTAAGTAAGATAATCACATAATAAAAAATATAGCTCATTAATTTGTTAAATAAATATTAGACAAAAGACTTGTAAATTTATTGACGTACAGTACACTTATTAAATCCGAAAATTCTACAGTAGTTTACATTTAGTAGTAATTTAATAATTAATTAAGAAATGATTTAATATTTTATCGTATTTTGTTATTTAAAAGGTCTGTCGTGTTGAAGTAGAGGGCTTGCTGTGACGTCACATAGATACAAGGTCATGCTAACAAATATACGGGATCTGGCTATCCTTGTAGTTTAAAGTTCTTGGATTTAAACTGTACGAGTTAAAGAAGTGGCAACGTTGAAATAGAAAAACCATTTAGTGCCATCTGGTTTCTAAAGTTAAAACTAAAATAGAGGATCAAGATTTGCAAAAATTGATTTGTGGGTATTTTCCATAATTATTAAGCTTGTTTAATCATTTTAAATTTTCGATCGACGGGAAAATATTATTATTTACCAACTGAAAAAAACAAAATTGATAACGCATCGTTTAAAATAAAATAAAAATTTTATTGCTTATCAGAAAATGTTAACGAAACAAGTAACACCATCTGACGAGAAACATTAGAACCAAAAAAAACTAAAAAACTTTCAATTAATTATTAAACAGTTTCCATAAATTCAGAAAAGGACAATTTAAAATTTACAAAAATTAAATTAAATTATATTAAACTATACGTTTCGATATCATTCAGAATTTAAATTATTAAACAATGGCGATCGACTCGAATTTGTAACTAACGATCGTTATAATTGGATAGTTTGAATCTTAAATTCTCCAATCGTATTCGTCGAAATTAAAGCAGATCGTTAAAGAATAAACGAAGATAAACAGAGGTTTAACTTCGTTTATGCCTTTGCCATGTCAAGTGCGACTGATCTATAAATACTTGTCTTTAGGTATTATGAGCGCGCACACTTCTGTGTAGAAAGAATTAGGTCGTCACACATTCACAACGTGATACCGATTCGGATGTGGTCCGAATTAATAACGAAATGCGCATTAATTATGAAAAAATGAGGCCGGCAAATGGCTATAGCGGCGCCAATATCCTTTAACTCAAACACAGCACTGTTTTATTATTATTTTTTGGCTATTAAACAGCGCATATAGTCCAGCAGCAGGAACAGCAAGAAAACGCGCGGGTAAGAATGTGTTGTAGTTTTTCACTCCACGTTCTAACGCGTAATCATCTTCCGCGCATGCAGGAATGGCCCGGTCAGTCGGGCGTTTAAGAATGTACTATATGTATGAAAACAGCTATTGACAGTACCTCAACAGTAGTCATGCGTGCTAACTTGCACAGCCTAACATACACCAATAAGAACATTAACATTGTAGGAGTTAATGCTCTTAATAATCAATTCTGTAGGTGTTTCAACTAGTAACACCTACTGAATTAATTAGAAACAAAAAGCAGCAGCCGAAGTCGTAAAGACCGAAACGATACAAAATCTGTTGCTGCGAAAACAACAAAAATTATTCACAATGAAGCACTTTTCTTCGGACAACTACATACCAAATCCACCACACGATCGCCAACAGAAAAGTAAATCACAAACTATTTTCTGCTCTTTGATCCAATCAAGTCACATACAAAGATGAAGCAAGCGGAATCAAAAAGGAAGAAGAAAACTTCACGAAAGACCAATCATGTTTTACGTTGAAAGAAACAAATAAAACAGCCAACATGCAGTACAGAGAATACAGTCAGAAAACACCTGGTGCAGACGACATTCACAATTTCTAGTACAAAAAGTTTTTCACTGCACCAGGAAGTAGCTAGGATTCTTATACACATCAAGAGCTCGCTTAATCTGGCAACCCTTAACGAGTAGGTATCTAGTTATGGCTGTATTTGCCAACAAATACTTGAGAGTCCAAGTCATCTAATCGGAAATCGAGCACTTAAACAATCGCAATTCATTTTGCTTTAACTCAACTATGTTGGTGAATACGGCCGAAACTCATCCTTTTTTATGTTCAGAGATGCCAGATTTGGCGACAGTCGCAAATTGGGCAATTTTACTTTATAACAGTCTCTACAGAGTTGCCGTTTTATAGGCTAGGTATTTTTAATCTTTATTATTAATTTATTCAGACACTGCCGTTCTATTAGAGTCGCCAGACAATAATATTAATTTTTCACGGTTTTCTTTTACATTCAAAAAATTACTTCTCCTTAAAAAAGGACCAGAGCTTTTCTATTTGTTTTAACAAACATTCTCTTCACATTATATACCGTGTATTTCAAAATTGTGTTGTTATATATAATTGTTATTGTTGAGTAACATTGTTGAACTCGGGGATCTTCAGACATCAATACAGAAAAGAAAACCCGAAATTTTGCATGTATGGATGGACGTTAGTGTATATGGAGGGGGGCACGATTTTGTTCATCCACTTTTAAGCTTAGTTCCTATGTCTTTTGTCAAGAATTTCTGAAATTTTGCAGGATGGTCTATTTATTAGGGGGATCGATGATATTAAATTTCGGTGGTTACAGGTCCAAGGGGTAGGGAAAGNTGGGCCAATTTCCCTTAGCTAGTCTTCCCGGGAAGTATCCCTCTCTGCAGATCGGCCACCTGTCACAATTTCTTAAATTTTGCGGGATGGTAAATATGTTAAGGGGGTCGTGGGAGTGGATAGAGGAAGATCACGTGTCACATCTCGAGTGGGATCGGACTTGAGGAAGATGTTTTTCATTATTAGCATTTACAATTTTTTATAAAATCCATCCTTACCCTCAAAATTAAGCTTTTTGCCATTTTATAATAATTAATAACATAAAGTGTTTTTAAATAAAATGTTATAACAGATGGCACCATCAGATTTAAAATATTTTTACCGGGAAAACTACGCAACACGTTGCTAATTTCTTCCATACTGCTTTAAGTATTTAAGTGGTAGAGAAAACTTCGTATTTACAAATGAACAAACGTCATTGTTTCCGTCAGGCATATGAATTTATTGATTTTAGATGGATACAAGGATGTTTACGTAAAAATTAGAAATCCAAGAAACAATTACTTAAAGCTTTAAAAAATAAATTATTTTTTCGTTACTCATGACTTCTCTTCTGTAAAGTTGATTGTTAAGTCTTATTGCATCAGGAATGACTCCATTTTGTTTTTGTCTTCGCAAAATGTACGAAATTGCAGCTAAGTGCAAGAAATAAAAGACTACTGTTATAAAGCACCAAATAATTAAATTAATTTGATGGAAAGTCACACCTTTGGTTGAATTAAAGAAAAAAAATTTAAATTAAATTGCAGCAGACAATAAGAATTTTGAAGTATTGTAACTTTCCCGGCTGTTATGAGAGTTTATTCAAAAAATAACTTTTATATTATTAATCATAAATAAGAAATTGTCTGGCGCAATCTGTTGAAAGTTTTTATAATAAACTTTTTATATTATTACTATTTTTTTAATTATAAAATGGCAAAAAGCTTAATTTTGAGGGTAGGAATGGGTTTTATAAAATATTTTAAATGCTAATAACGAGTAAAATCGCCATTAAGACCGATCCTACTCGAGATACATGTAGAACAAATTATGACGTCAATAATAGGACTACGTTCTATTATTACATCAATAAATAGAAGTAAAGTACGTAGTCCTATTATCGACGTTATGCTTTATAAACACGAAAATTTCTTTAAAATTTTGCAAAATTTTAAAGAAATTTAACAAATTAAAAAAAAATTATTTGTATTTCTTGCGATTTATTAGAGGTACGATTAATTTTGGGAGAAGACTCGGTGGGACTGTCTGCAATTAAGATTGTTGAAATAGAATTCTGCAATAGAAAATTGCATAGTTAATCTCTTTCCACGAAATTGACTTTTTCAAATGTCTAATAAATTATCAATCAGAAAACTGATAGTATCGAGAGATAAAACATATTTCAATAATATATAAGGAAATTCTGTGTACAGTAATATACAAGGAAATTTCTTCACTCTCGGTGAAGAAATTTCATATATTACACAATAATATATAAGGAAATTTCTTCACTCTCGGTGTACAGTACCAGAGGTAGTGTATTGAAACAACTTTGTCATCGAATTTTGTAAGTAAGTACAGTATGTGTATTTTTATTCCCGCGTAATTATTAACTAAGAAAATAATTATAAATATTAGAAGGATTGAATCTTTGCAATGACTAAATTTTTCTAAAATCTTGCCCATCAGTGGCCAAATGGATAAAACCATCGAACACCGATCGTGGGTTCGCGCATGACCAACGTGGAGTTTTTCGGATTTTTTCACCTTAGTAACACTAAATATGGGCCAATTTCCCTTAGCTAGTCTTCCCGGGAAGTATCCCTCTCTGCAGATCGGCCACCTGTCACAATTTCTTAAATTTTGCGGGATGGTAAATATGTTAAGGGTCGTGGGAGTGGATAGAGGAAGATCACGTGTCACATCTCGAGTGGGATCGGACTTGAGGAAGATGTTTTTCATTATTAGCATTTATTATATACATATATTTATTTATTTATTTAAAATAAAACTCGTCTCTATCCTCAAAATTAAGCGTTTTACCATTTTATAAGAATTAATAACAAAAAGATTTTTAGATAAAATTTCATAACAGATAGCGTCACTACGATTTTTAATATTTTTTGCCAAGAGTTATGAAAAAATCCATCGACGTATAGTTTCTGTATTTAAGGAATGCCTATTATATTTTTCCCCTCCTAATAATTGTACACTTGGGTGGTTGCCATTATTGTTTTTCCTCAAGCCACACAATTGGTAAAGGTCGACACCTTTACCAATAATCATTCCAAATAAGCAGTGTTTAATTGACACAGATAATGTATTTTATTTCCTCATCCTATTCCTGCGACTGTACACAGAATTGAAAAATAGCACAGAAGTGTTTCGGTGCAGCGCAAAGCGTACAAATTTCTACGGGTCAAATTCGAGTGCACAGGTTGAATGAAAATGTGTTTGCACATTTCAAAAAAAAAAAAAAAAAAAAAAGGTAAACGCCAATAAATAAAATCTTCACTAAGTCACCCCTCTCGAGATACGACACGTGCTCTTCTCTATATCCCCATCCCCTCGACCTTTAACCACCAAAATTTAATAGCTTCGATCCCCCTAACACTCAAACCTCCCTGTAAAATTTCAGAAATTTTCGATAAAAGGCACAGGAAAATTTATTCAGCTTCAAAGTGGATGGATAAATCCAGTGGTGTAGCGTGGTGCCAGCCGCCCGGGGCGGAGGAAAATTTCGCCGCCCCCTTATTTAGGTATCTCAATTTAAAAGACTAAAATTTCAGTTTCGTCACAGAATAAATAATGAAAAATTCCGTGCTAGTGTTGCCACCTTTTTAAAATCGCCGACCCGGATGGCAGGTGAGGTATGTTCGAACAGAAGTTCCAAACGCATGCGTATATCATTTTGCTAATTAAAAGACCATGTGTAGGGATATAGGGAGGTCTTGTGTGGTATCGGACTTAATGAAGATTTGGTATTAGCATTTAGTGTTTTTTTTTTTTTAATAAAACTCGTCTCTACCCCAAAATCAAGCTTCTTGCTATTTTTCAATAATTAATAATATAAATAGTATTTTAAAATAAAATATCGTAACAGATGGCGCCAAAGACAATTTTAACTCTTGTCGGGAATCGTTAAGAAACGTTTAAAGTACTGTACAGTTGTTCCAACAACCGAAACACGCGCTCGTGTGTTGTGTGATTACTAATGTGCGTGTTTTAACCGGCGTAGCCGCAGGACCACACGTGCGTACTTTGAAAAATTGATTTCGTCACGACATCGTGCGTGTTATGTCAAAATTATCATATAGAACAATACATACTTATAGTAATGGGAAACTATAAATCAGCTTACAAGCGATAATCGTCCTGTAGCCATTAAATATTTTTACCTCGAATATCTCAGCTTCCATGATTCCAAGGATTCCCGTGATTGATCTGATGCAACTCTTCTATTTTTCCAATGATATCTTCAATGGTAGATTTCGAGGAATTTTTCAACCTTGTACAATAATTACTTAATGAATAATCATTGGAATTAACGAAGTTCTCATTTTACCTTCACATCTTATAAAGTTGCTTTCTTTTAAAATTCAATTAGCCAAGGGGACGGATTCAAAACAATTTAAAGAAACCCCGATATTGCGTCTTTTATTCTAAAATCGAGTAAAGAAGGAATTGTGGAACAAATATTTTACTTTTATTATCGTTCATATTCAACTAAATATTTGGTAGATTCATAGAAGAAAAATGTCCATATCGAAGTTTTACGAAAATGTGGACATATTTTTAACTGGAGGAACGGGATTTTTGGGAAAGGTAAGCATTTCTACGGCGATTTTCATGCACCGATAATATTTTAAGCATATTTACACTTTATGTTTTTAATATCTGTAGATTCTTATTGAGAAATTGCTACGGTCTTGCAATGTTAGAAAAATTTACATTTTAGTCAGATGCAAAAAGGGAAAAACAGTAGAAGAAAGGAAAGAGGAATTGCTTAATTGTAAAGTAAGTTTAAATAATAGTCTATATTTTCATAAAATAAAACAAAAATTTCAATAAATTACTCGAGTTACATATATTACAGTTGACCCCCTATAACACTGTTGATAATTCCGTTTTATAAGAATTCCATGTTGTACGAGTCACTTAGATTTTACAAATACGTGAGCCGTTCACAGCCCTAAATCTAAGTGACTCGTACAACGTGGAATTCAAATAAAACGGAATTATCAACAGTGTTATAGGGGGGATCAAATGTACTGTACTTATATTTTTCTGTGAGTTATAAAGTTGATCAAAATTCAGGCATGAATTCAAAATTAGTATTTCAGTAAATTTTGAAAGTAAAAACGTGTTGTTAAAATTTAAGTTGTTATAAAACCTATGAAACCTAAAGGCAAGTACAATACAGATTTTTTCTCTAAACTGACGTCACTATTACACTTTCCGATTACAAAAAGTATAATGACGACGTCAAATCGAAGTAAAAACGAACACAATTGTGTTAACACCTAATGTTTTAACGCTTAACACCAATGACGTAACTCACATTGTTTAATTCAACGAAATTTGGTGTTGAAATTTCTATATCGTTTTAAAATTTCTTAAAGATTTTTGAAAAAGTTTTACTGAAAAATCCGGATATTTGCAACAAAGTCGAATGCATCGAAGGAAATATCTGTGAAGAAAATTTGGGAATTTCCTCTTCGTATATGAATCTGATAAGGAAAAATGTTTCGATGGTGTTTCACTTGGCCGCATCGCTTAAATTCAACGAACCTTTTCCGTAAGTTTTAAATGAAATAAAATTATTCTTTAAATTTCGTATTTAATTTCTATCCATCCACCGCTTTCTCGGCAATTAATTCACTTATGTTTTACCAAACACCTTATTTTGCTGAGCTTAAAATTCTTTTACTTTTACAAACGTTTTCAACCTACCCTTGTATTTACTATAGGCCATCACCAGGCTTATTATTATAAATGTTCCACAATAGAACGTACTGTTTTCGACTATTTTTACATTTTTAAAATTTAAAAAATAACTCATTTAAAATAACACACGTCCTAAATGCCTATTGTATGTGAATTTGTTAATTCTTTCTGAGTTAGTATCTTTTTTGCCTTGGTTTTCTTCGTAACCTTTGATCAGCCCTTCAGTTGTGGCGATTTTGTAACCCAAAGTTGTTGCAACACATTTAATTCTATTACTTTCCTTGAGATGGTCCTACACGTTGATACAATATGGCCTATAGTAAACAGGTTGAAAAACTTTGTAAAAATAAAAGAATTTTAAGCTCAGCAAAATTAGGTGTTTGGTGTAACAAAAGTAATTTTATTTCTTCTGTAGCGACTCATTCGTCAACAACGTGGAATCGACAAAAAATCTGATCCAAGTTTGTCGTCAGATGGAAAATTTACTGGTAAACATTTCTTAATGCTTTCATTACAGATTGCTTTTTAGTGTAAAGAATCGGATTTGATTGACAAAACAAGGCAATGTAACACTTGNGACGGATACCCGTTGAATGGGTTATATATATAGATAAATAAAGTCACTAACTCACATATTTGCATCGTGAGATATCTTCAAAGTCAACTAATACGAGAAATAAACACTACATTAAACACTGACATAAACAATACCCGCTACCTAGCGGATATTTCGCGCACTAATTGCTTACAACACGAACAATTTCACGAGTAACACGTAAATTATATTTTAATTTAATTCTAATAATTTCCATTCTAATTATTTAAAATAATTCGGAATTTATATTCGAGAATTCAAATTTTAAAATTGAGAGTAAAGGTAACAATTTCCTTTTTTTAATCTAATACAATTAGGTATTTAAGAATCAAGGTATATTTGATAACTGTTTTTTGTATAGGACAATTAAAAGCACATTTAGAATACATTTATAACTAGAAGTAAAGGATATTAGAAAGAAGTAAACTAGAATTTATTATTCTAAGACAAACAATTATCTACAAGATGGCCCAAAAGCTTGTTAACCGAGTTGTATTGAGAGCAATCCAGAAATTGGCCAGAGAAAAAGACGAATGATTTGATTACGAATAATTTTTGGCCGCCTTATATTTCTCACAATTATTAAAAATTTTAGTTTTTTTTAAAACTCGGTACTGATTTCATTCATAGAGAGATATTGCAGCAACTCGGATTTAATTTTAAGAAATTATTTATTGTAACGTTGATAATTAATTAATAGAATTTACGGGAGAAGACAACACTAGGATAATAAGCCGAAGAGTATTGCCTCCTTGGCTATTATCCTAGATTGCTTGTCTAACACCTAAATAGAAAATGGCTCTTACTTAGGTGTTAGACGAATGAGAAAACCCAAAATATTCCAAGTGATTAGCTTGCTGGTCGGATGCGAACCCACTACCTACCAAATTTTCAGTACGTTTATCCACTTGGCCTCTGATGGGCTCTTACTATGGACATATCGTGAGGTGAGGACCAGAGTTCTACCTCCATTTTTTCACTACAGTATTTTGTTTTTTCATTTTAATCTGTTATGTAGACAATCGTATTTCTGTTAATACAGTGTTTTTTCTTGTTTCGTGAGCAGTAAAGGCACGTTTCTGGCATGCAAATTTGATTCTAATTGAAAAAGTTGGCAGAATTATAACCAAAAGAATCTGTTCTGTAATTATGGAAATAATTTGGGAGTAAATTAAGCCATGTTTTTAATTTTATCTAACTAAATGAAAAAGAGAGTTAAAACGAGCAATTATTTATTGCGATATCGTGCACATTATGACGGGTTGAAATATTTAATTTATTTAATTTAAAATATATTCTCTCCACCTCAAGTTATTAGTAATGGCTTGCCCCTGTACTGTACATCATATTTTTCCTTTAACAAACAGAGTCGTGCTTTCAGGGGAACATTTTTGAATTGAAATAACATAACTTCCGGTTTTCATCGGAAGTTCTTATATCGTTAATCGGGCCTCCTACCCCAAAGCTTTCTTGACGTTCATCTATGTAACTTCGTTCTCGAGATTAATTAATAAGGAAAGACAGTGAAAATTTGTTCAAAATGCGGCCTAATATACACAGGTGAATATTATAATACCAGTTGATCAGATATTGTACAAAATAAATGTAAACATTGAAAAAACGAAGAGTGTTTGAAAAAAAAAATAATTTTGTAAATCAAAAAATGACAGTGTTGTGGATTAACATTTGCATATGTTAAAATTAAACTGAGCTACAATTTTTCCGCTAAGGGTCTACAAAAGTCGCACTTTCGTAGTAGCATCACATAACACAGTTATCTGTTATTCGAAAACCTTTGTCATCACTAAAGTATAGCAGAAAGGATGTTTTAGTAACATCGTGTTTATGAAAGACCGTGCAAGATTCCACACCGCAGTCATTGTGGGAGACGTACTGTACTGTATTTTGTAACACGTTTGACAATAAAAGGGGTAATTACTAATCGCTATCTTCTCCTACGCATTGTCCTACGCGTTTACCCGATTCCATGTGACTTCTAATTATTATGCTATTTGAAAAGCAGTGTTCATACAGATGGAGCTGTGGATTTATCAGAATTAAAATGGCGAACTGAAAGAAAGGAGCCTAATTAGTCCTGACATGTCACACTCGGCTGTAGCTAACGTGATAACACGATTGCATATTTAACTGAGAGTGGCTGCTACTATAGTGGCGACGTTATAGACCCAAGCGTCAAAAATTGTAACTATTTTTGAAACTCTGTCTATAGCTTTCCCGTGTTGCGATAAAGGTGTGTATAAAATTTTATCGATCTAACTCGTAGTTTTGTCTCTAAAGTGATATAAAGTGGTATACTTTAAAATACTGTAAAGCTGTAAAAAATTAGTAATTTACAATTCGATTTGTTTACAGCGAAACAAAAATGGAAGCTTCTAATACGAAACCAGAAGATATCAGAAAAAAAGTTCTTACAAGTGAATTCTTACACGTAAGTTTTCATTTCGAGGGACCGTAATTCAATTGATTTTAATGTAAATTACTTTCTGAAATGACTGGAAATTTATTTTCAGCTTAAATTATCGAGAGAAACAGACTTTAGAGATCAAAATGAAGATACAACTAACAACATTTTGAAGCAGATTTTCGCGAAAATTCACTCAGAAGAAATTCGAAGAGATGGAGATTTCATGATCTATTTTTTCAATAACCTTGTCGATGGCCAAGATAATTTATATAATTTACTACAAAGAAGATTAGAAGATGCTGAACGTCTGCATTCCAAAGTTATAGCTTATTATTATGACGTTATGGACAAAATAATTGGTATGTTTATTTTCCGTTTGGTTTGGTTTATTTGATTACGGCAATGCGACAAGTTGGCAATATGCCGAGAGAGGATGCCACCCGGGAGGACTTTCTAAGGGAAACTGCCCCCAATTTAGGTGAAAAAATTCTGGGAAACTCCACATGGCCATCCCGTTAGCCAGGCGCGAATCCGCGACCAGCCAGTATTTGGTGGTCGTATTTACTTTCGTTGGTTGTAAATTAATTTAATAGTTTGGAGAGCGGTATAATAATGAAATAAGTCACTCGCAACGCTATTTCTTCACCTGGTGACAAGTACTGAAGCCATGCGAAGAAATAGCGTTGCGTCTTAAGCCATTATCGCAAGCGTCAAGCATCCTTTACATATTGCATCATTTAATTTTTAATTGTTTGAAATGTAAATAAATAGTAAGAAAGTCTTTCCTTTGCTTTATAAATTTTAGATGAAATACAACAGAAACAGCAGAAAATGTGTGAATATATCAGTGAGCAGAGGGATGAAATTCTCAAAAAATTCGAGAAAAAGAACACCGAAATAAAACACAGACAAAATCGAGAAAAAAAGGAAATTCGTGGAATGATCGATTCGAAATTAAAAGAGATCGAAAACCGCAAAAGAGAATCAAAAGTCAAGTGCGAAAGTATTAAAAGACAGATTAGCGACAAGGTAAACTAATATAAAAGTAGCAGGACGTAATGTAAAAAGAAAATTATCATGTTGGTATTGAAAGCTTAATAACTTAATTTCAACACCAGAGATCCATCGAGAATCTAAAATGGCAGTCTGTAAGTACTACGTTTCGAATGTACCCATGTCAGTGTATTGTATATTATCAAAATTAATTTCGATGGGAGTTACTTCGATTGATAAAATACTTTCAGATACTTATACATGTGCGAAAATATTCTAGTTTACAACAAAGAAACGTTTAATTAAGAAGTATACTGTATTCATAACTTTTGGAAACACTAGTCTAGACAATAGAGGAGGGAAAAACTAAAAATAGGTAACGATAGGCAAAATAAATTTTGATAAAACCGTTGAAAAATAGTAATATTGACAATAAGTTACATTAATTTTTAACTGAAGCAACATTTTGTAAATAAATATTACAATACCATCTTAGTGATCTGGCCGTTCGCTACCTCGACACATCCAGTAATCCGACACTAGTATTACTGATACTGTTGCAAAGTGATAGACAAACTTCGCACTAGTTCAAACTCTAATTTCCACTAAGTTTGAACACTAGAGCTGGGGTCTGACACACGCCACTAAACGTGGCGTGATATCAAGCCCTAGCTTGAACACTCAAGCTTATATTAAAGGTTGTTTGACTTGTCATCTTTAGGCTGTTCAAAAGAAAAAAAAAATATATATATATATATATATATATATTGTAACTCCCACTAAATTTAGTGAAAATCCTCATCCATGCTTAAATATTTCTGATATAAAAAAGGAATTTTTAGAGAGCCTATAATGAGTGGTGTGAACAATTAAGATGAATAGATGCCAATGGTTTCTTCTCAATAATAAGGGTATGGGATATAATATACATATTTACTAAAATTTCCACTAACAGTGACAAAGGCTTTTCATATTGCCTGATTTATAAATCCACATCAGATGTCAAAGCATTGACAATTAATCCCACATCTTCACTATATTTAATTATATCAAGAATTATATTTTTTAAAACTGAACCATCTGTTGAGTTGCTAGTATAAAAGTATGCATTTAAAGAATTATTATGTTGAAAATTATTTGTTGCTATTTCATAAGTTGATGCTTGTTGCATCATCATTTTAAATTTTACAGGCTTTTGAAAGAAATGGGTTTCTTACTTCTGGATCCTTTATAGATTTTTAGGTAGTGCATAAGAAAATATGGAAGTAACAGCAATATGCTTCAATTTTCTAGTTCCATCAACTCTAGTTTTTCCTATTGATCATCAAGAAAATGTATACGAATATCAGAATAAATGTATCACTCTTCATTTAGCTTCTTGTTTGAATTTTTATCAAATTATTTCAGAACCCCAATAGTAGTGTTTTTTTCCCAAACTTATCACAACGACTTCTGTATGTTATAATTCTCTTTAAGTGTATCAATTCAGATATTAAGACAGCACATTTTGATTTAAACAATTTATGCTATTACTTATTTAAGTGCATGGAACTTATTAAATAATTATGCAATTGCAAACCTTAAGTAATATATATAAGTAAAAATTATCNAAGAAAACGTCTACTAAAAATGTAATTAATCTAACGGAAACGAAGCGCCGCCATTTTAGTCACCATACGTAACATTTACCCAAATATCAGTAAATAACAACTTAAAAACTTAAGATTAATACAAACAGTATATCGTCATTGGAAATATTCTCTATACAGTGTATTCTTAATATCACTAACCTTTCGTCAATTTTAAATTATTTGCAGAAAACGAACGTAGAAACAATAAAAATTTATCCACGAAACCTTCGTACAATCTCGCTAATACGTGTTTACAAGAATAATGGCGGCTTAAAGTCACGTGATCACAAACTGCCAATAGAAAGGCGTTTCTTATACGGTTACTCTCGTTATAGGCTCCTTACAAATTTTGAGATAGGTGCGACCTCTAGAGGCTAATCATGGAATTATTAAATGCAGTATTAAATGGAAATTACGTAGAGAGAAGTCAAAAACTTAAAAAAAAAAATAATTAAAGCATATATTTTATGTTATAAATTACAAATCTACTGTAATTTACAATACTTTTGATTAAAATAAAGTAGATTTGTATAATTAAGGGCTTTCATATCAGATATTGTATATCATATATTACAAATATTAAACTATATCAATACTCATAATTTATGTATACTGATTTTTTTATTTAAATTTTAAGCAATTTACACTGTTTTATGAACGAACATATCATTCGAATATAATATAAAAATGTTACATACATAGATGATTGTTATACTTCACTTACCTCGCATAAATAGCTACTGTCAATTGCTTTCCAATTTTCTCTTTTCACTTTTATTTCCAAAAGTTTACGACTTTCATCAAAAATCCTTTCTCGCTGCGATTTCTGCAGCTTAAAGCATACTCTAAGAATTAAAGTATAAAATAAGTTAAAATAAACCGATATTTTGTTAGTTAAGTAAGAAGTTATTGTGGTCAAAGTATACTTAGGTAACACCGGTTAATGTTACCCATGGTGACTAAAATGGCCGCGCTTCCTACTGTTCGTGCTCCCGACTGATCTCCCGGAGGGAGCCGCCGTGTGTTTAACGTCACTACCGTGTTTCCCCGAAAATAAGACAGACTCTTATATTAATTTTTGCTCTGAAAAGTGCGCTAGGCCTTATTTTCAGGGGGAGGTCTTATTTTTTCCAGGAGGAAGAATTCACATTTATTATTGAACAAAAAAATTCCCAAGTCGAACTTAGACGAGAGTGACGTATATCCGATGTGTCGAACTGTCGCCTTTTTATAGCGTCAACATCGGACTCGATGACCAATTAGTGCTTACTGAACCGTAGCACTATGCAAATGTCATGTGGCGTGATTCCCGGCCAACCAATTAGCCATCACCAGCCGTAACGTTATGCAAATCTGTGATTCCCAAGCCATAGTCTTATGCAAATCATGCCGTGTGG